GAATTCACTGAGCTCCTGAGAGCGACCCATTCTTTCACAAATGTTTGTAAAAACAGTCTGCATGCCTAGGTGCTTGAATTTATACACCTGTGGCCATGGAAGTGATTGGAACACCTGATTCCAATAATTTGGATGGGTGAGCAAATACTTTTGGCAATATAGTGTATGATTGTGGGCTTTCTGTATGGAAGTGAATCTCTGAGTACCTGGAGCCGAGCACCCGCTGACATTTGACCCTTTTTGTGATGTTAAAAAGGCAACCCTCAACGACCATCACTATGGACAGTGTATGAACCAGTTATTTTTTGTTAATAATTAACAAAGTTTTTTTTTCCGATAATCTAGCTAAGTTTATTCTACTTTGTTGTTTGATATCTGTTATGACATTATTTTTTTTGGTTATTTAGTGCTGTTCCTTTGTTTCCGGTTAGTTAGGATTAATTTGGGTGAATTTTTATATATACTCTCCGGCCACTTTATTAGGTACACCTGTCCAACTGCTCGTTAACACTTAATTTCTAAGCAGCCAATCACATGGCGGCAACTCAGTGCATTTAGGCATGTAGACATGGTCAAGACAATCTCCTGCAGTTCAAAGCGAGCATCAGTATGGGGAAGAAAGGTGATTTGAGTGACTTTGAACGTGGCATGATTGTTGGTGCCAGAAGGGCTGGTCTCAGTATTTCAGAAACTGCTGATCTACTGGGATTTTCACGCACAACCATCTCTAGGGTTTACAGAGAATGGTCCGAAAAAGAAAAAACATCCAGTGAGCGGCAGTTCTGTGGGCGGAAATGCCTTGTTGATGCCAGAGGTCAGAGGAGAATGGCCAGACTGGTTGGAGCTGATAGAAGGGCAACAGTTACTCAAATAACCACCCGTTACAACCAAGGTGGGCAGAAGAGCATCTCTGAACGCACAGTACGTGGAACTTTGAGGCAGATGGGCTACAGCAGCAGAAGACCACACCGGGTGCCACTCCTTTCAGCTAAGAACAGGAAACTGAGGCTACAATTTGCACAAGCTCATGGAAATTGGACAATAGAAGATTGGAAAAACGTTGCCTGGTCTGATGAGTCTCGATTTCTGCTGCGACATTCGGATGGTAGGGTCAGAATTTGGCGTCTACAACATGAAAGCATGGATCCATCCTGCCTTGTATCAACGGTTCAGGCTGGTGGTGGTGGTGTCATGGTTTGGGGGAATATTTTCTTGGCACTCTTTGGGCCCCTTGGTACCAATTGAGCATCGTTGCAACGCCACAGCCTACCTGAGTATTGTTGCTGACCATGTCCATCCCTTTATGACCACAATGTACCCAACTTCTGATGGCTACTTTCAGCAGGATAATGCGCCATGTCATAAAGCTGGAATCATCTCAGACTGGTTTCTTGAACATGACAATGAGTTCACTGTACTCAAATGGCCTCCGCAGTCACCAGATCTCAATCCAATAGAGCATCTTTGGGATGTGGTGGAACAGGAGAATCGCATCATGGATGTGCAGCCGACAAATCTGCAGCAACTGTGTGATGCCATCATGTCAATATGGACCAAACTCCCTGAGGAATGCTTCCAGCACCTTGTTGAATCTATGCCACCAAGAATTGAGGCAGTTCTGAAGGCAAAAGGGGGTCCAACCCGTTACTAGCATGGGGTACCTAATAAAGTGGCCGGTGAGTGTAAATAGGCTGTCAATGGTTGGACATGCATCTGGACGTTTTCTTTTTTTTTTAACCATCGCAAGAGAAGCATGGAGGGAATGTTTGTCCTTTTCTGTTTGCTTTCCTGAGGAGAAATAAACTAAGAAGACTGAAGGAGCTTAGTTGGAACATTTTTTCTCAACACGTTTTAATGTCAGGAGTCAAACCCTTTTCCGAAAGCTTAACAGGTGTTTTTGTTTCAGACGTTTTATCATCATTTTAGTGTCAGACATTTTGTCTGTGTACAGAAACTTGACCCCAGTGCTTTAGTGGTGGCTTAATGGAACCTTTTTTAGATGTTTGGCTCGACAATGACCATTACAGACAGCTTTGATTAGGACTTAAAAGGTTTATATTTTTCCTTTTATAAATTAATTTGAGAAGTTTGGCGTGCATTTCTGTTATTTTTTCAAAAAAATTTTAGAGTTTGAAACTTCTTGGCAATAAAACAAAACAAGGACTCAATCAGATTACTTGGACGGTAAAAAGGAAAAGTCCGGCCATATTCAGAATTCTGAAAGTACTTTAAATATGAAATTATTACACACTGTTCAATAAATGATAAGTGTTTTTAATTAAGAGTCATTTTCATTTGAATGTGCTTTACTCAATAGATTTTTTTTGTTTGCTGGTTTTTAAATTGAAAAAAAACAAAACTTTTATTTCTCAGTGCACCTCCCTCCATATTTTTCCCCAAACAACTCCTTGTATTAATAAACAAATGCAAGGAGTTGGAATCAGTGTTGCTTTGTCGACGATGACGAAATAATTTTGTCGACGCTCCTTTTTTTATGACTACAACCAAAACTGATGAGCTAAACGCGGATCTTTGATGACGAAAAGTCTTCGTTGACGAGACTAAATAACAAAGTGAGTTGTGGTCTGTCAGAGGTTTGTCTCTCGTTGTTCTCGTTTGGATCTATTTGAGCGTTTTAGTTAACACATTGAAATTTAGGTCTGGGTTGCCATGGCATTATAAGGCATTTATACGGTAGCCCTGAAGTGCAAACTGCAACTACAAATCTAAAAGCGCAACTACATTAAGGAAATCGCAATTACATTAACCTACCGGAAAAGGTAGGTACCAGTGGGAAACATGAGACATCGCTGATTGGACGACGGCGCCGTTTGACCCTTGAACCGGAAGTTGCGTCGTCTGAACAGTCCAGCTTCTTTTAAGTGTGTCTTCAGTGTACGCAAACTAACTGAAATTTCGTGATTAGTCTTGAGCATATCCAGTATCGCCTCGTACGTATGTCCTGATTCAAAATATTCCTGGATAACGGCAGCTATGTTTGGGGCGCCGACAATATCCATGTTTTCAAAAGCCGCAGCAGGCAGAATGACTTCCGGTTCAGAGGTCAAACGGTGCCGTCGTCCAATCAGCGATGTCTCATGTTTCCCACTGGTACCTACCTTTTCCGGTAGGTTAATGTAATTGTGTTTTCCTTAATGTAGTTGCGCTTTTAGATTTGTAGTTGCAGTTTGCACTTCAGAGCCACCGTACATTTTTGTAGGTTCTCTCTGTATTTTTTTTTTTATATCAAAACCCTGTGAATTTAAATCTACTTTAAACCCCTGAGCAGCAGTAACCAAGGTTTTTTTTTTTTTTTTTAAGAAATGAAGCCAAAATTACCAAAGTAGAAAGAAGAATGTTTTTGTTCTTTGCTTTTTTGGAGTAATGCAGATTTTATTGATCTGTGTTTAATGTATAATTCATAGTAGATCAGGAAGCGTTTGCTTTGGGATGGAAACCTTATAGGTATAAAAACATTCCTTTATTGGACATTTTGTTTTGCAGAGATGGCAAAAGTACTCACTTTCCGTACTTGAGTAAAAGTACAGATACTTGTGTTAAAAAATACTCTGGTAAAAGTGGAAGTACTGATTAAACTTCTTTACTCAAGTAAAAGTAACAAAGTACAGGCTTGTAAATTTACTTAAAGTATAAAAGTAAAAGTAGAAACCACTTTTTTCATTTAAATGGATGTCTGTCAATAGGACTAGATCTCCGTTGTGTTCATTTTCAATCATCTCGTCGTCCATGCTACTATGCTAACGCCACCGCCACCAAGCTGCAATGATTTGCCGCCAATGAATACCGCCGAATCTGTCGATTCATCTTGTAGCGATGCGTCAAATGCAACGTAGATTCCCATCCAATTAGATTGAATTTGGTATTAATGACGTGAAAAATAATAACGGTAACTCCATTGAAATGATTCAAAACTAAAGTAACGAGCCAATTTTTTAAAATGTAAGGAGTAGAAGTAAAAAGTCGCCATAAAAATAAGTACTAAAGTAAAAATATCAGAAAAATCTACTTGAGTACAGTAACGAAGTGTTTGTACTTCGTTACTTCCCATCTCTGGTTGTCTGTCTGCTATATTAAAGGTACACTATGCAACCGGTGTTGATTTTCCAGCGAGGCTCCCCCCAGAGGGCGAAAGTAAAAGTGCACTGTCGTAAATACGCTCGGCTGTTCTCCTGGTTTCTCCTTCAAGCCAGGCGCGGTTGTTTTGAGCTTAGCAGACAGGCGAACGCAACGAATCACCATGTCTGCTGCGGTAAGTGACTATTTTGTTCCAATTTTCGAGTTTAAAAATTTAGCATGTTACATTATTTGTTATGCATGTGTCTAAATAACAAAGATTGTAGTTAGCCAGGTTCTCGCCGTAAAGCAAGACTGACTCTCAGGATGCGCGAGACTTCTGAGCCTGTGGGTGCGGGCCGAGGGCTCCTGCTATTGCAAGTACGGTATTTCCCCTACAGACCACCAGGGCGGCCGAGAAAACCTTTGTTCCACCTGAAATGACTCATTTAATCATCCAAAACGTTATGGAACACATTAATTAACTGAAAAATGTTGCATAGTATGCCTTTAACCAAGATGATGTGTTGAACTAGATCTGCTATTTTCACAGCTTTTGTGACACACTTTTTTTCTAAGTAGGGCATTAATTCATAAAAAGGTTTATTTGAATTCTATAAATCAAAGTTTTCTGCCCAACAGCAATGATGATCTGCACAGCAGCATTCTATATCCAGCTATTGTAGCATCTAGGATAGAGCTGCAGGCTGGGAAAGAATCTGGACGTTATTTGAAGTTATAAAGGTTCACTTTATAATGAAGTGCAACATTAAACCGACTAAAACGATCGCATATAGTAATAAATAAAATGACTAAAACTAACAACAGTTTTCATCCTGAATACTACGACTAAATCTAAGATGGCTGTCAGAACCAACACTGGTCTGAAATACTTTTGTATTTCAGGACTTCTTGCATCCCCTCACCTGATGAGATCCTCTCGATCTCGGAACACCTTGGCAACCCGCTGCACGGTGTAGTCTGGGAACGCCAGACGACCCGAGTTGACCAGCAGGATGGTAAAAAGCTGATTCTGACCTCCGGCGGCCATTTCCTCCTCGTCCATGGTGTCCGTCAAAGAGAAGAGCAGCAGGATGCGGGAGAAGACGGCCCGAGGCCCACGAGACAGACGCACGCAGGAGCCCGCCAGCTGCTTTGCCCTTTGAAGAAAACGTCCAAAAAAGTTAAAAAAAATCCACTGGACTTTGTTTCCAAGTTTGAAGACGTTTCGCTTCCCATCCAGGAACATTTTCCTATTCAAAATGTCAGAAATAGCGTTGATTTTTTTAAATATCAGGGGTAACGAATTAAAAATCAGCAGGGTCCGAATAAAGAAAATCATCAACCAGTAAAGGTCTGGAGACATTTTTAATTATAATCTGTTACTTTAAACAGAATTCAACACTGAAATAAAATGAGGTGTTTATGCATCCATGTTATACATTGACTTTTTAAAGAAAAAATATAAAAAAATAGAATATTTTTCCATTTTAAAATCTAAATTGTTTTTGGAGTAGAGAGCAACAATATTTCAGTTTTAAACAAAGATAATTTCCTCAGTTTTTTTTCTCAAACACCTGAACTGAGCGTTTGTTATTTCCTTTCTTTTTTCTGTCTTAATGTTGGCAGTGGGCTTTAGGCTGCCCTGCAAGGCTTTAAACCTGGGTTTAACCGGAGACTAAGCCATTCTCAAGCACATATCAAGGAGCTCATTTTGAGCCTGGATCCAGATTTATTGTTGATTCTGTTCATGGTGGAGAATCCTGCTTCACAGCAGCAGGTTGAGCCAAACATCCTCTAAATGTGCAGGGTCATCTTTGAGCACGCCATTTCACTTTTCTTTCACCAGTTCACCGCAGTTCTTCCAGCAGTCCACACTTTCTCTGCTCTCTTTTTCTCATGGTCTTCTCCTTCTTTCCCATCGCCCGGCTTGCCACAGGTTTGCCTGCTGTGTCTAAAAGTAGCAGCAGCAGCAACCCAGACTGACAGCTCATTGGCTCATTTGGATCACGCGCAGCCTGGAGCCGGACGCTCCCCAGGGCTTTACCGTATTAACAGGAGAAGAGGCGCAAGTGAAGTTAGACACTGTCGTCGGACAAGATCCGGTAGTTTTAAATCAGGGAGGAAAGCGGGGACGAAGATGTTGTGAAAGAGGACGCCAGGGCGGCAGAAGCTTGGTTTGGTGTAGAAGGCTTCCAGCCGTACATGTTTGAGCCCTTGCCTCGCGACGCTGCCAGTTCTGTTAGCTCTACGCCTGCCGAAGACACAGACGTCCATCCCCGTGAACACTGGGACGCAACTCAATGGGAAAGGAAAGGATTCTGATTTTTTGTTTCAACCGTTGCGTATATTAGCTGTGACACATGAATCAAGATGCTATGACCAAAAAATTTGATTGACAGATGACCGTTGATATATGATTGGCCGAATTTAGGTGTTCAGGCTGACGTAGAACTAACTGGCCTGCAGAAGATAACGAAAAAACCACAGATTTTAAGACAGGATTTTTTTTTAAATAGAAATGTTCTAAATTTTGGGACAATATGGTCTGATAAAGAGAACTTTTGTATACATGTTTAACCCAGAATGATTTGACATTTAAATATGATTTCCCTATGACTTTAACTTTGCATGTTTTCTAAGCCAGAACAAGGCTTTGTTTTTGGTCCACTCTATAAAACCTGGAATTCAACACTGTTTCTGACATTCTGAATTGAAAAATCTTCCTGGATGGAAGAGAAACATCTTCAAACTTGAAAACAAAGTCCTGTGGATTTCAACCGTTGCGTATATTTGGAGCGTGTAACAAAAGTAATTTCCCTCTGGGATTATTAAAGTATTTCTGATTCTGATTATAAGCTGCGACATATGAATCAAGATGCTATGACCTAAAAAATTTGATTGACAGATGAACGTTGATATATGATTGGCCGAATTTAGATGTTCAGGCTGACGTAGAACTAACTGCCCTGCAGAAGATAACGGAGAAAAAACACAGATTTTAAGACAGGATTTTTTTTTAAATAGAAATGTTCTAAATTTTGGGACAATATGGTCTGATAAAGAGAACTTTTGTATACATGTTTAACCCAGAATGATTTGACATTTAAATATGATTTCCCTATGAAAAAAATAAAGCCAAACGACCCCCATTCCAAAGGGGGGGACCCGTTCATCCGTTTCTATTTGCATGTTTTCTAAACTTAAACCAGGCTTTGTTGGGCTGCTTGATAAAACCTGGAACTAAACGCTATTTCTGACATTTTGAATTTAAAAATCTTCCTGGATGGAAGAGAAACGTCTTCAAACTTTGAAACAAAGTCCAGTGGATTGTTTTTAAACTTTTTTGGAATTACTATGACCTGGATGACTGAGAATCTTTACTAGCAATAATTAATATCACCTGTGGGAGGTTTTACATCCCAGCCATGAATTATCATCTCACCGTTTCAGGATCACTGTCCCAACTTTGCTTTCACTGGAGGCCAGAGAGAAGAAAGACCTCTGCCTGCTCAGACGGAGAAGCCCATCGACTAACTGCTGTTTCTGGATGCCAGAAGAGCCCAGATGGAAAGTTTTAGCGAGAGCTTTAAGTTCAGGAGCCGGCAGGAGATCCAGAGCCTCTCCGAGGTCCTCCAGGTCATTCTCTGAGACACCAACAGAAAGAATCAACAAACAGCTCAGAAAATGTTCTAAAACTCCTACAGAAGCATTATTAAAAGCCATCACTGGTTAGGGATCGCTTACCTGTCTGTAGAAATCCTAACTGAACCAGTTCCTGTGCAACAGGTCCCAGATCACTGCTGATTTCTCCATAATCCAGTTTATTGACCTGGAGCCACTTTAGCTTCCTCTGGAAGAGCCTCACATAGAGCTTCTGAGCCATAACTGCAGCAGACAGAGAGACGGCCATGCTTAGAGTCAATGCTTACAGCGGCGGGGGGGGGGGGGGGGGGGGGGGGGGGGGCAGGGTGTTTTCATGGGGGCACAAAACGGCATGGAATTAAAAACAGGGAAAGGGATTTGAATATATTTACGGAAGAGGATTAGGGCCACTGAAAAAAAAAAAAAAGTTAACTGATTTTTAAATTTTATTTCAGTTTAACATTGGAAAAAAGTCAGAATTCTGACTTTAATCTCAGAATTCTGACAATAAGAAAAGTCAGAATTCTGAGATTAAAGTCAGAATTCTGACGAGAAGTCAGAATTCTCACTTTTTTCCAATGTTAAACTGAAATAAAATTTAAAAATCAGTTAACTTTTCTTTTTTTTTTCAGTGGCCCTAATCCTCTTCCGTATATATTAAGAGAGCTGCATGAAGTGAAATTTCTATTCAATTAAGTTTAATTAAACTTCTATGTCTCATTAGGTCAATATACATTCATAATTTAGGAATTTTACATATTTTTTACTTAATTCTCTACAAAATCAGAATTAGAACTCAAGAAAAACTGATAAATTCAGCTGTAAAAATGAGAGTTTTTTATTTATCTGGAAAAAAAAACAAAACATTTAGCAGATAAAACTGGGTTCCTATCTCAATACCACAGTAGTCTTATTATAAACGTAAAGTTTTTAAATAATTATGTTACAGGTGGTATGGTGGGTGTGGTCCAAGCAGTATAAAAGCGGAAGCTGCAAACATTTGTTAAAAGGTGTCAGTTTCCATGGGATGCCAGGACGTATCTGGGTTCCACACTTTATAGATTCGTCAAGAATGTGGGTGAGTGTTTTTAGAGTGTGGGTTATATTGAACTTTTATTATGATGAATGTAAATTTTAACCGTTCTTTTCCTTGTTAGGAGGCCCTGCGGGTTTTTTAGACCAGGCTGTGTATACGGGCAGATGAGGGTGGTGTACGCGATATCGGTGTTTTTAGAGATTTTAAGGTAGTCATTAAAACTATATTTTGATTGCATTATTTTTGTAATTTGGTGTTTTCTGTTTGTTTACAGAGATGTTTTTTTGTTGCTCCTGCTGTCCTTAGGTTTATGTTTTGTTTTTTTTAGTTAGTCCGACCCTGTTTGGGGTCTTTGGTCCCGTTGTTCACTTGTGAGAGCGGACTAACTGTTTTGTTTCTTATCTTTTTTTCCATTGATCTGTTTGTTTTTTTCCTTCTTCACTCTCCAACGCCTACTGTGAGCTGGTAGACAATATTATATTGGATCTGATCGTCTGCAGTGTTTTTCACCTGATTGCTGTGAAGCCTTATAAGTAGGGATGCACGATATAATCGGCCCCCTATCGGTATCGGCCTTAAAACTGAATATCGGACATCGGCCACCCCACCGATATTTAACCCGATATTTGATCAGCTTCTGAGTTTCTAAAGTCTAAAAAAAAAAAAAAAATACTACTTCTTCTTCCTCAGAAACTTCTTTTTTACAGACTTAAAAACTTCTAAAGTCGAGGGAAAAAATATTGATACATTAAAATATCCCAATATCTTCATATGCTGATATATTGCCATTTAAAAACACCATATCAATCTCTTTTACTAATGAAATATTGCTATATGTCATCGTTATGCTACGAAATCCCCCGAAAATTCACCAAATGTTGCCATATTTTTATATGTTGATATATTGACGCGGTATCGATCTATTTTACTAACAAAATCTCACAAGAATTTCCAAATATCACGAGAGTTTGTAACAGAACGATGAAATTTCACCAGATTTTGAAAGTAAAATAGATCGATACCGCGTTTTTAAAAATCTATTTGATATCAGCATATGAAAATATATTTGAGTTTATTATTTTTCAAAGTGTCAGAAATGGATAACAAAACTGCTATTTTCAATGACTACTTATTTTTGTCCAGCTTTAACATCGGTATCGATATCGGTTATCGGCTACATGAGTTTTAAAATATCGGCATATCGGCCAAAATCCCAATATCGTGCATCCCTATTAATAAGTGTGCGACTTTCTGGTTCTGGTTATGCGGGTTTGTCCACCATCCACCAATGTCAGAGTGCAAATATTGTATTGCTTACCTTAAGCTATTAGTCTTGTAGAATGAGAGGGAAAGGATTTTTTTGTTTGTTTAATAAAGAACATATATTTTTAGGACTGAGTTTGTTTCATCCTGACGCGGGTGGTTACAATTAGTAAAACTGAATTTGTAAAGAAAAAAAAGGAAATAGATCCAAAAGCCCTGTCAGTAACCATGTCTGTTCCAGCGCAGATCATCATTACAATTTAATATGTCTTCGGTACAGGGGCCAGGAGATGATCTACAGGGGCACTGGTCCCCGTTGGCCCCTGTCTAGAAGCACCCATGTACTCAATGGCTTCAGAACCTACCAGATAACCGCTGGAATCCGTGGACGGCGGACATGTCCTCCTGGTTGAAGAGTGTCCTGTTGTCTTCGTTCTCCAACACGGCGTGCAGCACGGTCTGGAAGTTCCTCAGGTAGTAGGGAAGTGATGGAGCAGCAGGTCTCTCTGCAGAATCCTCCCTCTGCCTCTGTTCCTTCACCTCCTCTGATGTCAGGGTGTCAGGGGGAGATGGGGACGCATCAGCTTCCTGCTGTCCCCCGCTGCTTTCCTCTGGACCCAAACCAGAAGACGCCTCCTCAGACTCTCTCTGACCTTCGTATTTTGCTTTCTTTCCTCTGACAGAGGAGGCGGCTTTCTTTTTCCTCCTCGTTAGTTTTGCAGGTGGTTCAGATGGAAGCTCTACCTGTGCTGGTCTCTCTGCAGGCAGTGGAGCTGATGCTGCTGGAGGCTCCATGCTGGTGCAGACCACTGAACCACTGCTGTCTTCCACCTGAACATTTTCCTTCTGGGAGCTGCTGGTTGACTCAGCATCACTCATCTGATCAGGTTTATCTCTAACCTCTGCATGTTTGCTGCGATCATGTCTGGAAAGCTTTGAGGAGAGACTCCCTAAGCCAATGGCTCTGACCACAGTCTTACTGTTTATGTCACGTGGGGTCTGATCACAGATCTTCTTCTTGAAATAAGGACTGGTCTTGGTTTGTGTGTCCTCCTCTCTCTGGTCCAGCTCAGATTGAGGTGAAGCATCATTCCCACCTGTGCTGCCTCCTACTGTTCCTCCTCCTCTATCAAAGTTCTGACACTGCAGGTCGATGTGATCATTGATCTTGAATCTGGGGACCAGTTGTCCACACAGGGGGCAGGCCAGGCTGCGTGGAGGCTGGCTGCTGAAGAAAGAGCTGATTGAAGCACTTCCAGCTTTCGCTTCTTGTCTCTTCTTGTTCTTCAGAGACAAGCTTCGCCTCAGTTTGCCTCTGCTTGTTCTTTCTGCCATGCTGGAACAGAAACTAAAGTCAAAGCATTTTTCTGAAGCGCGGCTTCATGATGCAGGCTGATGGAAACAGATCAAACCAACGTTAAAGCTGCAGGAATCCTCGCTGAATAAAATGAACGCGGTGGAAACTTAAACAACAGTCAGAACCGGAGCGCTAGGTTCTCTGGAGGAAATGTGGCGTTCGTTACTGAGCCTGTTCACTGAGCCGGTTCCTTTTCCGGACTCCAACATGGGAACTTTTTAGAGGAAAAATCCTCCTATATTCAGAATTTAAACTTCTGAAAGTACTTTAAAATAAAAAAACTTGAAATTATTTCATCCTGTTCAATAAATGATAAGTATTTTAATTAAGAGTAATTTTCATCTGAATGTCCTTTACTGGAGGCATCCATGCCACCCAGGCCAGCTGACAGCTTTACTGGGGCCCGGGACAACTCAGTCTTTTTGAGCCCCCCTCTACACCAACTCCATTCCTTGACCTGTTTCTGACTCATTCTCAATTTATTTTCAACATTTACTCATAAAATCCCTCCAGCCGTTGGTGTTATCTTCCCTTTTTTTCTGTGCGTATAACTTCTGAAATCCTGACATTCTTAAAAGTTGCAGCAAAACAAACTTTAAAAGTTGCAGCCCACCGTTGTCCTGGTCAAAACCTTTTATGTAGGGGTGGGAGGAAATCTAATGGGGCCTCTTATGTAAAGAAAACATATTACATAAACCTAATGCATATATATATATATATATATATGCTTTTGCACTCTGACAGAGTTTTTTTTCTTATCTGTTCTTTAGTTCCTTTCAATTGCGGCTTAAATGCAGTTCGTCAAACTTAGCTTATCAATAAAATATAGGATACATAAATCTTCACACATACACACGAACACACTGCTGCTGTATCCTTATTTTGTTTTTATCTAGTTTCACACATTTTAATAATTATTTTACGATCTTAAGACTGGAAGTCAAATCATTGACACTAACGATAATTCAGATTTTGACATATAGGTATGAATTCTTTAATTTATATTTATTTGGGATAAAAATTCAATCTGTAAGAATGTAATGTGTTTGCACATTTCCATTAATTACGTAGTTAATTAATAATAGTTGAATTAATAATTCAACTATAATTATTAGTCAGAAAACAATGTTTCATCTTATTTTAGGTATTTCTTTTATAGTTACAGCTAAAGTATCGAGCAGTGCATATTATACAAGATAAATAAATGTAAAAAATATTGATTGATTTATTTTTTTTTATAATATAGGCCGAAATTTATCTGTGTAATTAAACCCCTGACCTTTAATCAACCATATTATCCTGAAACAACTTTTAGAAAATTATTATAATTTCTGGATTTAACAAACACAATATAATAATCAAACCCAGATAGGCTTAAATATCTATTTTTTCTAATAAAGCATAAGTAATAAATGTAAGTTATAAGATACAATCTACAATCAAAAACTCATTGAATCAGGAAGTGTGATTTTGTTCTTATTTTTTTGTAAACGTATCTCAGCCTAAAGAAGCGGATCCCTGAAAAAGACACGGAAGTCCCATCTGAGACGGTCCCGCTTCTCAGGCATAATCAGTAGATCGAAGAGTGTAGTTTTTCAAATCGATCACAGATAAATTGATCTTTTTCTAACATTTATTTTGAACTGAAAAAAATCGCATGCTCCCAATATTTTTTTTTCTAATGCCATAAGATTTAAGGTTTATAATAAAAGATAATAAAACAATTACAAAAAGCTTTTCATATACAGGTGCTGGTCATAAAATTAGAATATCATGAAAAAGTAGATTGATTTCAGTAATTCCATTTAAAAAGTGAAACTTGTATATTATATTCATACATTACATACAAACTCATATATTTCAGATGTTTATTTTGTTTAATTTTGATGATTACAAATGACAACAAATGAAAATCTCAAATTCATCATATCAGAAAATTGGAATATTGTGAAAAGGTTCAAAATTGATGGCCCCTGGTGCCACACTCTAATCAGCTAATTAACTCAAACCACCTGCAAAAGCCTTTAAATGGTCTTTCAGTCTAGTTCTATAGGCTACACAATCATGGGGAAGACTGCTGACTTGACAGTTGTCCAAAAGACGACCATCGACACCTTGCACAAGGAGGGCAAGACACAAAAGGTCATCGCTAAAGAGGCTGGCTGTTCACAGAGCTCAGTGTCCAAGCACATTAATAGAGAGGCGAAGGGAAGGAAAAGATGTGGTCGAAAAAAGTGTACAAGCAAGAGAGATAACCGCACCCTGGAGAGGATTGTGAAACAAAACCCCTTCAAAAATGTGGGGGAGATTCACAAAGAGTGGACTGCAGCTGGAGTGAGTGCTTCAAGAACCACCACACACAGACGTATGAAAGACATGGGTTTCTGCTGTCGCATTCCTTGTGTCAAGCCACTCTTGAACCACAGACAGCGTCAGAAGCGTCTTGCCTGGGCTAAAGAGAAACAGGACTGGACTGCTGGTGAGTGGTCCAAAGTCATGTTCTCTGATGAAAGTAAATTTTGCATTTCCTTTGGAAATCAAGGTCCCAGAGTCTGGAGGAAAAGAAGAGAGGCACTTCATCCACGTTGCTTGAAGTCCAGTGTAAAGTTTCCACAGTCAGTGATGGTTTGGGGTGCCATGTCATCTGCTGGTGTTGGTCCATTGTGTTTTCTGAGGTCCAGGGTCAACGCAGCCACATACCAGGAAGTTTTAGAGCACTTCATGCTTCCTGCAGCTGACCAACTTTTTGGAGATGCAGATTTCATTTTCCAACAGGACTTGGCACCTGCACACAGTGCCAAAGCTACCAGTACCTGGTTGAAGGACCATGGTATCCCTGTTCTTAATTGGCCAGCAAACTCTCCTGACCTTAACCCCATAGAAAATCTATGGGGTATTGTGAAGAAGAAGATGCAATACACCAGACCCAACAATTCAGAAGAGCTAAAAGCCACTATTAGAGCAACCTGGGCTATCATAACACCTGAGCAGTGCCACAGACTGATCGACTCCATGCCACGCCGCATTGCTGCAGTAATACAGGCCAAAGGAGGCCCAACTAAATACTGAGTGCTGTACATGCTCATACTTTTCATGTTCATACTTTTCAGTTGGCCAACATTTCTATAAATCCTTTGTTTTTATTGGTCTTCAGTAATATTCTAATTTTCTGATATGATGAATTTGAGATTTTCATTTGTTGTCATTTGTAATCATCAAAATTAAACAAAATAAACATCTGAAATATATGAGTTTGTATGTAATGTAAGAATATAATATACAAGTTTCACTTTTTAAATGGAATTACTGAAATCAATCTACTTTTTCATGATATTCTAATTTTATGACCAGCACCTGTATATTTCCCACAATAGACTAAGAAATATGATCGATCAGTTGTTTAAGTGTGAGTGATTTCTGTGGTCACTTTCTAATATATTGAGATTAATCAATTAAGACCTGAGGGAGCACGTGGGTGTTTTTTTTTTTAAATCCACGCAGCTTCCAGGGCTGCTGAGCTGTGAGTCTTTCTGCCTGAACCCCCAGTCCTTCACCCCACCCCCCATTCTGGAGAGCAATCGGATCTGATCAACGCACGAGCGTTTGTACAAAGCGGGCCGCCCACAACACTGATGTCGGTAAGTGGAAAACATCCCTTTCTATGCACAGAGACGGGAAATCAAACAAACATTTGCATGCATGATAAACACTTTATAAGATTTATTCTGGTGCTGGAAATAGAGCCGGTCTGTGGCGGTGAATCAGCCTGACATTAGGAACAGGAGGATGCCAGCATGGTGCAGTCTCGATGCTTCATGATGAAGGTCGATGTGAAGCGCAGCAGCAGGAGGAAAGGATGCTTCCAGATGTTTAGAGCTCTGGATGAGGCTGCAGGGGAAAGCTGTGCTTTCTGGAGACTCTAAATGTGAAGAAAATAGGATTTCCAACTCTTTTATCTACATGTTAGATGGGGGGAAATGCGGGGGGGGGGGGGGGGGGGGGGGGGCGGGCACAACAACAACCACCCCTGCAGGCTGCGGTACTAAAGCCATGATATGGATTTCTAGAAATACCAGAAAAAGCATGTTAAGATCTTTGCATGACAGAATCTACATTGCAGAGTTTTATATGTGCTATAATGAACCTGGATGTTTGAATTGACTGTTCAGCACCACGGAGAGGTCACTATTTGGTCTGCAGGGATTTATTTTTTATTTTATTGTTGTTGTTGTTTTTTAGGGGGGTTATTTACTTACTGATGATGAGTTTTTTATTACATCTAATAAAAAGCGTTCAGATTGATTTCATGATGTGGGTTAATAGCTATCACACATGCGACAAAAGCCTGGATTTCAGACGCGCAGGTTCATATGAGGGTGTGACTTGTTTATCCTGTCCTCCCTTCAGTGCTGAGTGCTGAATAAATGATAAAGCTCTTATTAAAGCAGTTATAATCTCTCAGTTTATTTCTATTTGGGCTTTCTGTTGCTGGCTTTTATTTTTTCTATTTTTGTAGGCTTGTAAATCCTAAAGTGAGAAATATCCTGTTAAATGTTTCCACAGTTTGACATGTTATAACTTTAGTGTAATTTACAGTGTTTTTATGTCACATAAAGTAATGCTTGTGTTGTGGTGGCAGCATCATTCTGGGGCAGATTTAGGAAATTAATATTATCAGCGTTCTGATGGCATTTTAGCCAAAGGATTTTTATCAAAAGCATAATTAATGTACAAATAAGGAATTATAGTATTAACCATACACATAAACAGAGTTTTCTGGGGAATGCAGCTAGAGAAGCTGGATGGATGCAAACTCCTTAGAGGCCGGGAACAGCGTGATACTTTGTTTACATTTCTGCATGACAGCAACAACCAGAGGCACGGGAAATGCCACAGATCAGGCATCCCCAAACTCAGTCCTCAAGGCCCGCTGTCCTGCAGGTTTTAGAGGTTTCTCTGCTTCAGCACAGCTGGTTATAATGATTGCAGTAGACCAAAAGCCTGTTAAGTTCAGTGTGTTCAGTTAAAATCAGCTGTGATGGAGCAGAGAAACCTCTAAAACCTGCAGGACAGGGGGCCTCGAGGACCGAGTTTGGGGATGCCTGCTATAGATCAAAACCCAGAATATTTGATCTGACATGAAAAACATGATGTTTGGAGTGAGAATTAATAATATTACATGCTATGAATAGAACAGCCCCACTGGGAAGCAGGGGGGTGAGCAGTGGCGGTTCTAGACCGAATGTATCAGGGGGCCAGGAGGGGGCCAGTGTGTTCATGGGGGCACAGAAAAGCATGAAATAAAAAACAGGGGAAGGGATTCAAATATAGCCGAATAAAGTGAAATTTCTATTCAATTAGGTTTAATTAAAATAATATGTCTTATTTTTTTATATACATTCATAATTTAGGAATTTTGCAAATTTTTGATTTAAATTATGTTAAAATAACAGTTTTCTATAAAATCTGAATTAGAACTCGACAAAAACTGATAAATTAAGCTGTAAACATTTTTTTTGTTTTTTATATATATAAAAAATGTAGCAGATGCAAACTGGGATCCTATCTCAATCCCACAGCAGCTATCACCTTATTGTTTTTAAATAATTAGCAAAACTGAATTTTTAAGGGGAAAAAAATGAAATAGATCCAAAGGAACAATCAGTAACCATGTCTGTTTCAGTGCAGATCAGCATTACAATTTCTTTGAGTATTATGTCTTCATTACAGGGGCCATAACAGGGGCCAGGAGATGATCTGCTAACCTGACTCCGCCAGATGGATTTGCTCCGCATATCCATCTGGAAACCTTCCGTTGAAGTAATTTTGGGAAGGGGTGAAAATACTGGTTAGCTGATTGGCCTATGTTGGTGATAGACGGGCCAAATAAACCAATCAGATCAACGAAGCATATGACGTACTAACAGAGCGACGACGAAAACACAAGCCAGGCTACTCTTGCCCAAACCAGTCGGGAGAAGAGCAAAAACATCTTTTCCTCTGAGAAAAGCCTCCAGAACAGTGTTTTGCTCTTCTTTCAGTGAAGAAATACTCTGTAATTCCGATAAAACTTGCTCGATAGCCACGCTAACGCTAGTTTCATCGGCTGAAGCCGCCATGTTCTTTAGACTGAACTGTGGCGCTTCTCGTTGCGTCACACCTCAACCCGCCTCAAAGCCAACGCTGATTGGACGTTCGTTTGGTGAACGGCTCCAAATTTTCTTCAACGGAGAGTCTCCAGACTGATTAGCGAGTGAAACCTTGAAAGCTCGCGAGATCAGGATGGTCTCACCAGGCTAATGATCTACAGGGGCACTGGTCCCCGTTGGCCCCTGTCTAGAACCGCCCAGGAGGGTGAGGCCATCATGCTGGTAGACGGAAGAACTCATTTGGAACATTGAATCTCAATAAAAGAAAATCCTGCAAAATAAATAAATAAATAAAACATTTAGAAACTAAAAAAGTCATAAGCCTTTGAATTTGAATTAGTATTTGATATAGCGATAACAGCAGTTCTATGATGTCAGCGCTATATGGAATTATATTTATCAATCAATACATGAGTTTATTACAATTTTTTTATTTCAGTTAAAGATTAAATCTGTTTTTTAAACAACCTTACGGGTATTTACTGATTAGGAAACAAGTATAAACAGACCTAACAACACATATGGAGACAAGAAATAAAAAAAACAATCAGTCTGCTTCAGGGGCGGAGTTAGATGGGGGGCCATGGCCACCCTTAGCCAATCATTGGCCACCCCTGTGGCCCCCCCTACCATTTTTTCGCTTCTAATACAGATGGAGTTAATACAGATACAGCAGTGATATTCTCAAGTGGAATATTGAAAACATTTTTTTTCCCCGTGGTTAATTATGCACATCAATATACACTCACCGGCCACTTTATTAGGTACCCCATGCTAGAAACGGGTTGGACCCCCTTTTGCTTTCAGAACTCCCTCAATTCTTGGTGGCATAGATTCAACAAGGTGCTGGAAGCATTCCTCAGGGAGTTTGGTCCATATTGACATGATGGCATCACACAGTTGCCGCAGATTTGTCGGCTGCACATCCATGATGCGAATCTCCCGTTCCACCACATCCCAAAGATGCTCTATTGGATTGAGATCTGGTGACTGTGGAGGCCATTTGAGTACAGTTAACTCATTGTCATGTTCAAGAAACCAGTCTGAGATGATTCCAGCTTTATGACATGGCGCATTATCCTGCTGAAAGTAGCCATCAGAAGTTGGGTACATTGTGGTCATAAAGGGATGGACATGGTCAGCAACAATACTCAGGTAGGCTGTGGCGTTGCAACGATGCTCAATTGGTACCAAGGGGCCCAAAGAGTGCCAAGAAAATATTCCCCACACCATGACACCACCACCACCAGCCTGAACCGTTGATACAAGGCAGGATGGATCCATGCTTTCATGTTGTAGACGCCAAATTCTGACCCTACCATCCGAATGTCGCAGCAGAAATCGAGACTCATCAGACCAGGCAACGTTTTTCCAATCTTCTATTGTCCAATTTCCATGAGCTTGTGCAAATTGTAGCCTCAGTTTCCTGTTCTTAGCTGAAAGGAGTGGCACCCGGTGTGGTCTTCTGCTGCTGTAGCCCATCTGCCTCAAAGTTCCACGTACTGTGCGTTCAGAGATGCTCTTCTGCCCACCTTGGTTGTAACGGGTGGTTATTTGAGTCACTGTTGCCCTTCTCTCAGCTCCAACCAGTCTGGCCATTCTCCTCTGACCTCTGGCATCAACAAGGCATTTCCGCCCACAGAACTGCCGCTCACTGGATGTTTTTTCTTTTTCGGACCATTCTCTGTAAACCCTAGAGATGGTTGTGCGTGAAAATCCCAGTAGATCAGCAGTTTCTGAAATACTCAGACCAGCCCTTCTGGCACCAACAATCATGCCACGTTCAAAGTCACTCAAATCACCTTTCTTCCCCATACTGATGCTCGCTTTGAACTGCAGGAGATTGTCTTGACCATGTCTACATGCCTAAATGCACTGAGTTGCCGCCATGTGATTGGCTGCTTAGAAATTAAGTGTTAACGAGCAGTTGGACAGGTGTACCTAATAAAGTGGCCGGTGAGTGTACAAACATCAAAAATGATAAGTACTGGATTGATGCTCTTTTCAGAGCTAGATTTTGTGTTAAATGGGGTAAAGAGAAAAATATGTGTCTCTGCAAGTCATCTAGAAGTCTTCAGTGAAATCAAAGATAAATAGAAACTTAAATAAAAAATTATCAAATAATTTATGTAGATGTTTGTGCTTGTAAATATCCATTTTATGCAGAATTTTCATTGAAACAAGTAGGTAAGTAATGACAATGATTGATTTACGCCCCAGAACTCAAAACTGAGTTTTATTCACTATACGTTTTATTTAGAAATTACGGATTTTGAAATATATTTGTTAGGCTGTAGGAGTATGATTTGTCTTCATTTAGAAAATATGGATGTTTTGCTCGTTAATTCTCCTGTTGAAAAGTGTAGATTGACCGTGAGGTTCTGGTTCCGATCCGCTTTCGGCCACCCCACAGTTTACATCGGTTGTTGCCTGGCCACCCTTATAAAAATTTTCTTGCTACGCCCCTGGTCTGCTTGTAATGATAAGATTAAAGGGTGTCTGAGATTTTGAAGTACGGCTGGTCTTTTATGAAACTCATAATTTTTTGATAGAAATCCATAGATTTGAAGCTTATCCATGCATTTTTGTTTTGTTTTTTTTGCTGTTTGCAGGGTTTAGGGTAGCAAACTGAAAGGGGGCCAGTTATGGCTCATGGCAAGAAGCCAGTAACCATGTCCAAAGCCTTGGCTCCTGTTCCTCAGCTGTGCCCAGATGCAGGACCTGCAAAACCGATCCAGGAGCAGCGATCAGAGAGCGAGGACACTCAGCGACCTCCTTGTTCTTTGAGGAACGACGACAACAACGAGCAGCTGACTCCTCCTGCTCCTTCCAAGCATTTTTACATGAGCTGTGACCCAAGTCCAGAGGACATGGACGACGCGTGCTCCGAGTACGACAACGTCGGCTCAGACGTGGAGCAAGACTATGATGAAGAGCTGCATTTAAACAGACAGGGCCCTAATAACATGGGATACTACAACCAGCACGGTCCCGGGGGGGTGCAGCACGCCCAGGAGAGTAATGAGGATCCTTCTGCTGACGCCATGACTCCAAAAGCTTATCACAGCACCAGGAAATTAGAGCGACCACAATCAGGCGGTAAGCCGTATAGAGCGGGTCACCGGTTTAAGTCACACTGTGCTCCCATCGCTGGAGATGAAGATGGAGGAGCCATGAAAACAATTCAAGGAGACGGGTTCTTTTTCAATGATGGAGATGATTTTGAAGAGGTGCTGGACGGGGCCAGATTCATAGAGGATGTAGATGAGACAGAAAGGAAAGCTGAAAGGCCCACCGGTCTTCATCAGGGAGCTGAGAGTGAAAGAGTTAGAAAGGGAGGGCATGAAAGAAAAAGAGAAGATGAAGCTCGCATACCAAGAAATCGGAACGCATCAGGAGCCGGGAAGAAGTCTGAGCCACCCCACGGGGGGCACAAGGGGAAAGAGCGTCTGGGTAAAGGTCGAGGAAGAGGGGGGGGTGAAACTCAGCACATGAACCCCGGGGTCAAAGGAGGCAGCATGGAGCAGCATCCAAAGACTGTGTCCAAAAAGTCTGCAGTGAGGTCCAAGGATCGGTCCGGTTGCATCAAACACCATCATCCTCCCCCGACCCGCCATGCCCAGCCGGCCCCCCGCCCCCAGAGGACCCCGCCTCCTGCTTCTGGACCCCATCCCTCAGCTGATGACCAGCAGGAAAGTGAAGCCCGGCCGATCAAACCGTTTCAGGCGCCTCATCACACAGCGGAAGAACACAGAGAGCCGCCCGACCAGCAGAGAGGTTCAGAGACAGCCGAGGTAAGAGAGGCACTCAGATCCCCGTCTCACCTGATCTAACCGCTGTGGAGAGAAAAAAGGTTCAAATTAATTTAACGTCCTCAGAGGGAGAGGTTTCTGACTGAGGCAACCTCAGTGCAAACATTTATACCTTACAAAAATCCCAGCAGACACACTCCCACTAGGCCAAAGGTAACCCATTAAAACTCAGCCGGGTCTGAATAAAGAAAATCATCAACCAGTAAAAGTCTGGAGACTTTTTTAATTCTGTAAATCTGTTACTTTAAGCAGAATTTATCACTGAAATAAAGGAGGATTTTATGCATCCATGTTATACATTTAATTTTTAAATAAAAAATAAGAAAAAACATGTTTTCATTTTAAAATCTAAAGTGTTTTTTTAAGTAGAGAACAACAATCGTTCAGTTTGGTTTATAGATAATTTCCTGATTCCCATATTTTCTCAAACACCTGAACTGAGCGTTTGTTATTTTCTTTCTTTTTTCTGTCTTAATGTTGGCAGTGGGCTTTAGGCTGCCCTGCAAGGCTTTAAACCTGGGTTTAAATGGAGACTAAGCCATTCTCAAGCACATATCAAGGAGCTCATTTTGAGCCTGGATCCAGATTTATTGTTGATTCTGTTCATGGTGGAGAATCCTGCTTCACAGCAGCAGGTTGAGCCAAACATCCTCTAAATGTTCAGGCTCCGCTCCGGTCCGGCCAGGTCAAGATCCGCTATTCTAATAACACCAAGCGAAAAAGAACGGCAAGAAGATCCGGTTTGTCAAATTAAAATACAGTAACAACAGATCGATAACTACAAGTTAGAGCATAATTCTTATATAATAAAAAAAAAAAAACTAACACCGTTTATTTGAAAGATTGGATCCAAACTATTGGTCCTTCAACAGACCAGGAAGCAGATTTCTCATCTCCATCAGAAACTAAACATCTGCTGGATGCTGATGGGGATTTTTTTAATCTGTCATATTAAATTAAGTGTTAATTTCTGCATGTTTAGCTCCTACGCTCCTCCTCGAGTTTAGAGGAGATCGCAGCAATACGGGAGGAACAGCGGAGGCTGCAGGCTTTGCTTTGCGCAGTGGGGTAACAGGAGGAGCGGCGCAACTGATGGTTAGACTCTGTCGTCAGACAACATGCTGTAATTTATAAATGTTTTAAATCAGGTTGGGGCCGGATTAGCAAGCAGGTGGGTCCGGATCACGGTCCGCTAATCCATGACCTCTGCCCCAGGGGAACCAACCCACCCCACCACATAAAGAACTTTCTCACACTTAAACATTTGGAGGAAAAACAACTTGAGTTCATGAAGGCCGTTCCCTGTTAGGTTAATATATCTTTCACCAATGGATGTTCTCCCTTCCATGCCATGAAGGAAGCTGTGTGACTCATTCTTATCTCTAGTGACCTTCGTTTGGAGCCTTTGAGGCTAAGAACAGACAAACCTCAACATGTTTTACTCCACATTACTCATGATTAGTCCCAGTGAAAAACTCTGTCCCTGCTAATGTTCATTAGCTTTTATATCGCTACTCTCGCAAGCACATTGTAACACTAGGGGGCTCAAATATTACAAATGTTCTGACTGAGAAGTATTTTGACTGCATTTGTATTGGACCCCCTTTTATTCTGTTAGCCCTTAATAAAGTCCTGTGCAGTCAGCTTTCTTCAGAAGTTCCCTAACTAGAAGAAAACTAAAGCAAACCAACCTGGAGCAGAAGCAATGGGACCTGCATGGTAACTGGAGGCGCTGCCAGCAAACATCTCAGGTTTGGAAAGTCAAATCTGGCTTTTATGGAACAAGGAAAGAAATATGAGAATCCTTTTTTGCAATTTAACGTAAGGAAGTGGGGTGCGCAATAAAAATGTGAGGAAAAAAAAGGAGCTGCATAGAAAAAAGACCACGGATTGAAAGTTGTGGGTTTATAACAAAACACAATGTTTGATGGAAACTAACGGCCATGTTAAATCTGAAAATCATGGTGGAGAGAGTATAATGATATGGGGACAGTGCAGTCCTGAAAGAATTTACTCAAAGTGAAGAAATCACCCAGAAAATCTCACTGTTCTCCGTCCAATTTGACTGATGATTGAAGAAACGACGGGCTGAAGACGTTTCTCTTCCCATCCAGGAAGCTTTTTCAATTTAAAAATGGCAGAAATAGTGTTGAGTTCCAGGTTTTATAGAGTGGACCAAAAATAAAGCCTTGGTTTTTTGTTTAGAAAACATGCAGATTAAACGGACGAATGGGTCCATTTGCATGTTTTCTAAAAACAAGGGCTTATTGGGCTGCTGTATAAAACCTGGAACTCAACGCTATTTCTGACAATTTGAATTTAAAAACCTTCCTGGATGAGAAGAGAAACGTCTTTAAACTCTGAAACAAAGTCCAGTGGATTGTGTTTTAACTTTTTTGGAATTACTATGACCTGGATTAGATTAGATGAGCTTTATTGATCTCACAGCGGAGAAATTCACTCGTCACATATTGGCATAATAATTAAAGAAGGTGCAAACACGGAGGGAAAAGGTGCATTAAGAATAAACAATATATATACAGTATATCAAGATAAATAAGGATTAAGGTGCAAGTGTACATGTGTCACACACAATGAAAAACAAAATAAAAATAAGAAATAAAAAAAATAAAAAAAATAAAAATACAAGGTAGTAGCATAGAGGTTTGAGGTGACATATGTACAATCCAGATGGCTTATATACATGTGGATTTACTTTTACTTAAAGTGTAGTAGGTAAGGAACAACGGTGAGGTAGTGGTATGACTATTTTATTCACAAATGTTGCACAGTCAGCATATTGCACTGGATGACTGAGAATCTTCACCAGCAAAATTAATCGATTAATCGATTAGTGAAATAATTGTCCATTCATTTAGTAATCCATTCATTATTAACTGGAATATAGAGACTGTAAAATATGCCTTTAGCTGACAGAGTGCCTCACGTAGAGCTGCAATTATATCAAAATTGTAAAAAAAATGTATAAACATTTTGCATTTAAGAGAAAAAAAAAGGTTTTCTTCTATCAATCTGCTCTATGCAGAACTCCAAGAGCTGAAAGGTTTTAGTTTCTCCTTGTTTAATTTCGCTAAAAATCTTATCACTTCCACCTCTTCTTGACGGCAATAAAGAGTTCGGTACTGCTGGTGTGAAGTCAGCTTTATTAAAATTCTTCTTATAATTTATTTTCCACTGACACCAAAACCACCGTCGAACTAAAATACAACATAAACTTAAATGAGATGGTTTCATGAGTACAAAATGACATAAAAAATTATATAAATACATATAAACATACCTCCCTGGCTGACCCTTCCTTTTGAGGTAGAAATGAGAAATAAAGGACCTTTTAAACTAAAATTTCTCTGTAAAACTTCTTGCAAATGTCATGCCTTCATGCTGTGTGCATCCTTTTCTTCTAGTTTTTCAGCGAACATGCTAGATTCCACACTTCCTAAAGAAGCCTTTCAAAATAAGACTCATAACAAAAAATTGCATAATACAAAGTAAAACATGTAAACCAAAAAATATGGCAGTAAACTCCAAACCACCAAATCACTAACCTATAGTGATTTAACTTCAAACATGTAACATTGCAATAGGAATATATTTACATTTTAACATTTACTGTGCTTCCAGCAACAACACAGTTTTATGAACTGGTCTATCAAGATACACTGGCTTGACAGTCCTTAGTCCATTCTTATCCAAGGTCGAATCACCTAACAACAGTTTCACCTTCCTGATCCTTCCATCTGCGCTTGGATATACATCTGTTACTCTTGCAAGTTTCCACTTGATCCTTGGAGAATTGTCCTCTTGAAGAATAACAATGTCATTCACCTTTGCATTTCTTTTGTCTCTTTGCCAGATTTGTCTCTGCTGAAGATTAAGAAGATATTCTTTCTTCCACCTTGTCCAGAATTCATTGGCTAAAAATAGGGCTGCAACTAACGATTATTTTAAAAATCGATGAATCGGACGATTATTTTTTCGATTAATCGATGAATCGGACAAAAAATATTTTTTATATTAACCTCTTTATTCCAAAATAAACATTATAGACAGAACAAACAAGCACACAAGTACAGGTTGCTCATTAACTGTACTAGTGCAATATGAAAAATAAATGTTTGTGTTAAAACTACGCAAACTTACATGAGAAATGTAGCTGTACATCCACAAAATATAGGGTACTTTGTTTCATAAAGCGCAAAAAAAGACATTTTTGTTTTTAAAAGCCTCTAAGGGGTTCAAACAATAGGCCCCCTCATTTCAACAAATGAGTTTTTTTTAGACTAGAAGAGTTCTGCCTTTTAAAACAGGAAAGTATAGCAGTTAAATTTGCTACTTGAGAAAATACTGAACCAAAGAGATAAAAATAGCCCTGTGATTCAAATTATAAATTGTATTTGGAATAAAAATGAGAGAACTAGGGGTGCTAAAAAACACATCCTCCAAAGACAGATATTTACATGGGAATGTGGCATATAATTAATTGACATATTACTGATCTTGCTGGATTTTATTCTGCTTTACTTCTATAAATTGCAGGATCATCTTTACTTTATCTTTGCCAGAAGATTTAAACTTTAAAAGTCTTGCCCTCATAATTTGCAAGCTAATTTATTTATAAAGTAAATATAAACGCTGCTTAAGCTAATTCAAATGCAATTAAAAGTAAAATAAGTAGCCAACCTTATCACTGTCTGTAACCTACCAACAAGGTAAGGAAAGCATCAGATGAGCTACCTGAGAAACTAACGTTACGTTTCCCCACTTTAAAACCAAACAAACATGGTGGTTTCGTGCCATGTTAATTTCTTTTGAAAAAAGTTGCATGTTATCACTTTTTTCGCTTTACAAAGCGCAGGCTATTTTAATTATTGTGATCAATTTGCGCCGTCAATCCCGGTGCATGCGCGCTTCATTTGCAGTCTGGACGCTGAGGCTCTGACTGAGAGGGACTCCTGCGGGAAAACGCGGTTGGGGTGGGGGAGGCGCCCCACGGCAGAGTAGGAACGATGCATGCTTTCACGTAAGAGTCTCCAAAAGCCGCCAGTGACACCGAAAAAAGTCGCCAGATTTGTCGCTAGTCGCTTTTTTGAAAAATAGTCGCTGGAGGGGTCTGAAAAGTCGCGGAGTTGGCAACACTGCCCCTGCGGCGCTGACTCGCTCCGCCATATTTTTTTTTCTTCCTCTTTCAGTCAAGAGGCAGTGATGACGGCGCGGCGGATGACGCAATAATCGCGCGACACAACTAATCGATGATGAAATTCGTTGCCAATGCTTTTAAAAGTCGATTGTTATCGATTTTATCGATTCGTTGTTGCAGCCCTAGCTAAAAACTGAACTTGGCGCCACCTCTTTCTCAAGTACAAGTCCTGGCTCACAAATTCACCAGGAGGGGGCAGAATAACACCAGACTTCATCATGAGAATATGATTTGGTGTAAGAGGCTCTAAACTTGGATCACTTAGGTTTTCTACTGTTAGCGGCCTGCTATTCACAATAGCCATCACCTCATACAAAAACGTTCTGAGGGAAGAACTATCAAGTCTCTTAGAAGTTTTATCAAGAATAGCAGTTAAAACACTTCTAATGGTCCTAATCTGCCTCTCCCAAACACCTCCCATGTGGCTTGAAGATGGGGTGTTCAGAACAAACTCACATCCATATTGTTTCAACTGTTCTTTGTCACAGTCCTTCAGTGCATTCAAAAACTCTCCTTTAGCACCAACAAAATTAGTCCCTTGATAACACCTGATCTGTCTTACATATCCACGAATAGAAATAAAACAACGCAATGCATTAATAAAAGCATCAGCAGTAAGGTCATCTAACATTTCAATATGTATTGCCCTGGAACACATACATGTAAACAAAAGACCATACCTTTTAAGTTCCTTTCTGCCTTCTTTTACATAAAAAGGTCCAAAACAGTCAACACCACAGTAAGAGAATGGGGGTGTTGTTTCCATTCTGTCCTCTGGTAAGTCTGACATCTGTTGATCTTGGGTATGCCTCCTGTACTTCCTGCAGGTTGTGCACTTGAAGATGTGTGAAGCAACTGCACTGCTGCATCCTGTGATCCACAGTCCATTGGAACGCAGCTCATTTACAGTAATTCCTCTTCCTTGATGCTGCACCTTCTCATGGAAGTGTTTAATCAGTAAAGATGACATATGACTTGATTTGGGAATAATGGCAGGATGTTTGATGTATGGGTGCAGACTTGCTCTTGTTAAACGTCCTCCCACCCTGAGTACTCCTTGCTCATCAACAAATGGGTTTAAGCTATACAGCCTGTGTGTCTTATCCTTGAGTTGAATGTCCTTTCCTTGGGTTAAGTCCTTGATTTCCTTGCTGAAAGTGTTTCCTTGTGCAAGTTTTATTATGAACAGTTCTGCTTCTCGTCTGTCCTCAACACATGTGCTTCCACCTTTTGTTTGTGTGTCTCCTTTAAAATCTTTCACAAATTTCCTTAAACGAGCAATAGCTTTAACAGCTCTTCTCCAATCAGAAAATTTGTTGAGACGATCAAGTATTGTTCTCTTTTCTTGTACTTCTGTTTTGAGCACATGTACGGCTTTCAGTTCTGGGTCATTAGAAACAACTTCACTTATCTTGTCAGTTTCAAGGGGTAGTTCATTTTGCCACAAAAACTCTGGTCCTTTAAACCAGTTAGATTTGAGAAGCTGTTGGACACTTAATCCTCTTGATGCATGGTCTGCAGGATTATTCTCAGATGGTACATGATGCCACTGCTGTGGGTCTGTGAGTGATTTTATTATTTGAATCCTATTTGCCACAAACACATGAAATCTTTTGGCATCATTATTCACATATCCTAACACCACTTTAGAATCTGTCCAGAAATGTTCTTGAAGATTGCTGATCTCCAGTTCCCTTCTTAGCATTACACTTGTTCTTGCTGCAACTACTGCAGCTGTTAACTCAAGTCTAGGGACAGTGGTGACTTTGGTTGGAGCAACGCGTGCCTTTCCCATGACTAGCACACAGTGAACATCTCCTTTGGATGTGACTGTTCTTAAGTAGCTACATTGTCCATAGCCTGTCACACTGGCGTCTGAAAAATGATGTAAATCACACTGTGTGATGTCTGTGTTTTCAGGTAGTATGCATCTTTGGATTCTCACCTTTGACAAGTTTTGAAGATCTAGGAGCCAGGATTCCCACTCTCTGTAGAGTTGATCCGAAAGAGGCTCATCCCATCCAACCTTTTCTTGACATAGCTGTTGCAAGATTTGTTTTCCTTTAAGGATGAAGGGTGCCACAAATCCCAGTGGATCATACACTGATGCTACTGTGCACAGGATTCCTCTTCTTGTCATTGGGTGCTCTTTGACTGTTATCCTGAACTGAAACTCATCAGAAGAGATGCACCACATAACACCAAGTGCTCTTTCCATCAGTGGCTCTCCAAGTGCTAGATCCAAATCTTTAACACTGTCAGCACACTCCTCTCTGGGCAGCGACTTTAACACATTGTCACTGTTTGAAACAAATTTGTGTAATCTTAATTTGCCTGTGCTACACAGCTCTCTTGCTTCTTTTACTAATTTGATTGCTTCTGCTTCAGATTTAACACTTACAAGTCCATCATCTACATAAAAATTTCTTTGAATGAACTTCACTGTGTTTGGAGAGAACTTTCCCTCACCTTGTGTGGCTAGATGTTTTAAACCAAAATTGGCACAACCAGGTGAAGAAGCTGCACCAAACAGGTGAACCTTCATGTGATAGACTGAGGGGGGAACACTTAGATCACCATGCTCCCACCATAGGAAGCGTAAATAATCCTGGTCTTGGGGCGTTACATGGAACTGGTGAAACATACGTTCCACGTCGCACATTACAGCCACTGATCCTTTCCTGAACCTACAGAGTACTCCCACTAAAGTGTTTGTTAGGTCAGGCCCTGTAAGCAGGTGTTCATTTAGCGAAGTGTCTTGATATTGTGCAGAGCAGTCAAAAACTACACGAATCTTGCCAGGCTTTTGAGGGTGGTATACCCCATGGTGGGGAATATACCAGGCAGGGGAATTACAGAGTTCTTTCTGTGGCACTTTCTCTGCGTCACCACTTGCAATAATGTCCTCCATGAACCTTACATAATCAGAGTAGTACCTTTGATCCCTTATGAATCTGCGTTTGAGACTGCTTAAGCGTTGCATTGCACATGACGTGTTGTTGGGAAGATTTGGTCTGTCGTTTTTGAAAGGCAGGGGCATTTCAAAATGTCCATCCTGCTTTTGTTTTATTCCTTCTTGTAGCTTTCTTATGAAGCAGACATCTTCTTGTGAAATGCTTGTTTCTTCCACTGCTTTCTCTGTAAAATCTGCTTCAAGAGCTTTGATTACATCTGGTCCTGTTACTTCTTTTACTTGTGTCTTGCAGATGTAATGAACCTTATTCTTTAGCTTCATGGTTGGCTCAGTCTCTGGTATTACTTCCTTTACAGTGATGCGATGGCTTACTCCAATAACATCGCTGCCTGCATCAACTAAATCACAGTAACTTATGATGCTCCAGCCCAAATCTGTTTTCTGGGCATAAGGTTGGTTTTCTTCACCACATATGACTTCTCTGGGCATTAAAGCTTGTGTACAGTTGTAGCCTAACAGGAGTCCTATCTCACAGTCCAATGGTGGAGCAATGTATTCAGAGAGATGTTCCAAATGTGGCCATGACCTTGCCGTGTCTGGAGTAGGAATATGGCTACGATTGGCAGGTATAAAATCACGTGTGTAAGCAATTGGCACAGTGAGTTTCTTTTTGGAAAACAATCCTCTTATTTGCAGAGCTTCAAGCTTTGTACATGGTACAATTGTTTTCTTGGATGACATCGTAGATAATTTTAGCTTAACCTGGGTTTTAACTGTGTCCAGATTGTTTGCTACTTCATTGAGAATAAAAGATGAATCAATCTGTGTGTCCAGCAGAGCGTAGGTAAGTATTTCTTTGCTTGGCTCATTTTGTGTGGATACATAAACAGGTACTATTGCAGATGTCTGTGTGTTTCTACTTTCATGAGTCACTCTGTTAGATGTAATTTCGTTAACTGCGTCTTGTGACTGTGTTACCTGTTGCTGAGTTTCCTTCCGTTCAGCTGCTTCTTGGTCTTTCGGTTGTTCTTTCTTTGTCTCTTGTCTTTGTCTTTCTTCATGCAGACATGTGGGATGTCGTTTGGAGCATGTGTTGCATGTCATTCGGTTGCTGCAGTTCTTGGAGAAATGACCACTATTTAAACAGCCAAAACATAGTTTTTCACCTTGAATGAACTTGATTCTCTCAGTAACTGGTTTCTCAGTAAACTTACGACATTTGTATAAGCTGTGTCCTGCTCTTTTACAAAACACACAATAACCCATGCTTCTTTCTGTAGAGTTAGTTGTGAAGATTTTTGCTGTATCTTGTTTCTTGTGAATGGGCGTAATTTGAGGTTTTGTCTTTGGTTTGTCAAATTCACTTTGTCTTATAGCTTGATATGATGTAATGGGATTACATGCAATACTTGCCTCCATTGACAGGAATGTTACAAAGTAACTGAAACGGGGGAACTGTCTGTGCTCCAGCTGATACTCTGTAGCCTTTCGGTTCCATCTGTTGCTCAACCAGTCTGGCAGTTTAGCAGCAAGTCTTTGATTCTCTATCCCATCATTGAGGACGTTCAGATTCTCATTAGTAGTCATTGCAGATTGACAGCTTTGTAAAAAATCCACAAACTTTCTCAACTCTGCACTATCTTTACCTTGGAGCCTTGGCCATGTGTGCAACTTGTCCCTAAATGCCTTAGCGATGACAAAAGGCTCTCCATAACGTTCATTGAGCATATTCCATGCTGCTATATAGGAATCTTCAGAGCCAATCAGAAAATAGCCTTCTAAGGCTTCTTTAACACATCCACCTACATACTTCTGTAGGAAAAATATCTTTTCTGCAATGGGGATGTTCTTTCTCTCTATTAGAGTCTGAAAGGATGCTTTCCAATGTTTAAACTTAAGTGGATCCCCACTAAATACTGAGGGTTCTGGAATAGGTAGCCTATTAGCTGACATAGCTTCTGCCAAAACCTTTACAAGCTCACCTGTGCTCTCATGGATGACATTTAACTGTTGTGGTGGCTGTGTGGGTTGATTAGCAGTGTTCTTGAACTCAGTTACCTGTATGTTTGCAGGACTTGGAGTGATGCTTTCTTGCTTTACTGAAAAGTAGTCCTCTTCATAAACTTGTAATTTTGCCTTTGCTGCATTGAGTCCTTTCAGATTTTCCAGTCTTTGAATTTCCCTTTTTAAGTCCTCGACTGACTTTCTCCTTGCAGCACTTTCCTCTTGTTGTCTCTTTATCACAGCTGCCTTTTCTTTTTCTCTTTTCAACTTGCGTTCTGATTCCTCTCTTTCCTCTAGCTGGAGTTGTGACATCACAGCAGCTTGCTGTTCTGCAGTTATGCGTTTGTCTTCTTCTTCTATGGTTTGGATTTTTTCTCTGAATTTCTCTTGTTCAGTCATTATCTTAAGCACAGCCTTTGTGGCTTCATACTCCGCTGCAGCTTCTTGTCTTTTGGCGGAGGAGCCATTAGAAACAGCTGAACATGCTTTAAACAGACTATGAACTGAGACACTAGCTGAGCTAGAAGATGTAAATACAGAACTGGCATCAGGCCAAACAATCTCCTCCTTATTTGTTCCCTCAACATGGCACTGGATGTTTTGCAAAACTACTTTAGTCACTGATGTACATTTGTCTAACTTGGAACGCATATTATGAGGTGGTCCATCCTTTGCTCTGTATTGGTCATAAATATCATTAAGAGCAGCTAGTTCTCTTTGCACAATGTCCATGTGATCTTCAAGGATGTCAACAGGATCTCCTTTAATAACAGATTTTTTAGCAACTTTAATTAATGCTTTCCATCTGTCATAAGTGCTTTCAAAGTGACGTTGTAACACCTGTAGTTTTTCTTTATGGAATTCTCTTCCTTTTCCTGTTAGCATGCGAGGTCTTTCACTCCTACGCAGCTCTTCTTGCCCAGATTGAATTAAAAAGGTTTCATCTACTTGCTCACCTACGGCAGCCTTTTCTGCATCAGCAAGTGTTTCTGTTTCATTTGTTTCTGACATTTTGTTTTACTTGGAATGTTATGGATTTTTACTTGGTGAAAATCTCCTTTTAACTTGACTTAAATTCACTTTGAACTTTGTTGCATTATTTCCCTTCCCGTTACCATTTGTGCTGTTGTTGTCAGGCTTCACACAGTTCCTTGTTGTTACTCCCTCCTTGTGTCACTTCCCAAACATTAACTTAAATGTCTGGCTTCTGCACGTCTTTATGAAGAAGCAACAGATGAACGTGTGTCCATTAATTTTGCAGCAGCTTGGTCTTTGGTGCAATGACGCGATGTGTCCACCAGAGGGCCGGGAATCATGCAGCTCCGAGTTCGACTATCACTTCCACCTCTTCTTGACGGCAATAAAGAGTTCGGTACTGCTGGTGTGAAGTCAGCTTTATTAAAATTCTTCTTATAATTTATTTTCCACTGACACCAAAACCACCGTCGAACTAAAATACAACATAAACTTAAATGAGATGGTTTCATGAGTACAAAATGACATAAAAAATTATATAAATACATATAAACATACCTCGCTGGCTGACCCTTCCTTTTGAGGTAGAAATGAGAAATAAAGGACCTTTTAAACTAAAATTTCTCTGTAAAACTTCTTGCAAATGTCATGCCTTCATGCTGTGTGCATCCTTTTCTTCTAGTTTTTCAGCGAACATGCTAGATTCCACACTTCCTAAAGAAGCCTTTCAAAATAAGACTCATAACAAAAAATTGCATAATACAAAATAAAACATGTAAACCAAAAAATATGGCAGTAAAAAATCTTCTTTAAGGAACATTTTGCAATCCAACTATTAATTGATAAATCGAAAAATTAATCGATAAATTAATCAATTTGCAAAATATTCGTTAGGTGCAGCGCTAGAAGAAACTGATGCTAGATGTTATTTTTCTTCCCTGAACTTTGGTGTTTGTTTAAAGCAGGATCAGGATGAGAAGCCAAGCACAACCGTGATGCCTGAGGAAGTGGCAGAGCAGCCAGAGGGGCCGGAGGGGCCGGAGGGACCAGAGGGGCCGGAGGGACCAGAGGGGCCTCTGTGTTCAGAGCCGGACTCTGTAGAGGAAAACAACTCTCCCAAGGTGAAAACTAGTTTTATTCCCAGACCATCGGTTTAGCTTAAATTTGAATTTTATCATAAACCTGCCTGTATCTGTTATTTTGTTTCATATATTCCCAAATACTGAACTGATGTCAACAGGACTTTTTGTCTTTTTTCATATTTTTGAGCCTTATTTTGTTAACATCTTTTAAAGAAATCACAGGAAGGCGCTGCTTTTCCCAGCTTTGAGGATGGTAAATATGTTAGAGTATTTCTACTTTTAAATATACGCAGCAAATGGAGACGTCTTGCAATAAAGAGTATTATCTCTGCCTCCTAGTCCCAGGTCCATGTGAGCCGGAGGATCTCATCGACGGGATCATCTTTGCTGCTAACTACCTGGGATGCACTCAGGTGTTGTCGGATAAAAACCCGTCCAAGTCGGTGCGCATGTCGCAGGCGCATGAAGCTGTCAGTCGGATCAAGGTAAGCGGCATTCAGGCATCGATTGGGTTTGAAATGAAGGCTTACGTTCTGTTTTCATCAGCAGGTTTCAACAAGGGGGGGTCAGTTTTATCAATAAAGCTTTTTATTAAAAGAGCAAACTCAAATCCTATTTTTAGCTCGGTTATTTTATAATTACGGCATTTAAACTGACATACATACAAGACGTTTAAAATGTTAAACAATATTTGCAGATGGGAAAAAATTCAGTTTTTTTTCCTAGGCTTTTTTCTTTTTTTAATGGTCTAAATGAACATTAAACTTTAATTTTTACATGAAACATGTCTAAATCATGCATATTTATTAACCCTTTGCTTACTAAATACTCACCAGGAATCCTTTTTTAGAATAGGGAATAGCAAATGGAGATGTTTTGTATTTTTCACACCAGGAAACCACTTATGATTGATTGTTTTTACCATATTTCTTTCTGGCGGTTAGACAGAAGTGTCAAGTAAAAAAGTACAAATACTTTGTTACCGTACTATCTATATCTATACTTTACTGGAGTGATAATTTTTTTTAGACTAATTTTTTCTTCTACTCCTTACTTTTTTTTTTTTTGCAGTTATCTCTACTTTCTACTCCATACATTTTAAAAATATTCTTATTAGTTTTGTTTCATTTAAGCTCATTTTTGTTATGGCCTGTTGGTATTTAAAAACAAAAAAAGTTAAAACATCAAAATAATTTGTTTCTGTCATGGTTGGTTTAGGAATTAAACCCACATGCAGAACACAAACGGAGGCTGAATAAAAGTTTAACAGAGTTTATTAAAGGTTGCACAAAGATAACATGAACTGGATTCAGGTAAACTGGTCCGGGCGGGATTCTCAGGCGTCTGCAGAGACGGATAGTTTGATTAGCCAGGTTAACGGATGGCTTTTGATGGCCTAACTCACACTCAGTCTATGCATTTAACATTCTAGATGGAAAATACTACCTCCTCATCGTCCCATCACAAAGCCTGCACTGGAAAAAATCTTAACCTAAATAAGTCATTTTTTCCTAAAACAAGTGCGATTTTTGTTGAATTGAGGAGGTAAGTGAAACTATTTGCCATCGGAACAAGACAATTTACATTAAAAATAAGAAAAACCCTGTTTCATTGTCTTATTTCAAGTGTATATCATCTAATTTCCTTATTCTGAGACTAAAAATCATCATTCCATTGGCAAATCCTCTTATTTTTCTGCTCAAATTAAGGGTAAATGCCCTTTATTTAAGACATTTTGACTTATTTCTAGATCGTTTTTGCAGTGTGACGGTTGATCCCTTGTCTGGCCACATAAATGACAGGTTTTTAACACATACTTCTTATATCTGTAGAGAGTCTGGCTGCAGACCTGCACTGTCAGGACTTTTCATTGCAGACCTGCAAAATGGGGTCATCTGCACTGCCAAGATCGGAAGTCTATTCTAGAAGTATTTATTCCAGTATTTGAAGCCTTCAGGAATGAGGTTTTTCTGCCGGATTAGAGTTCATGACAGTGTTAAACTGAGCATAGGAGCAGTTTAAATTATACGGTAAGCAAGAATCCTCATAGGACAGCCAACCTCCATTGTCACTTAGAAAATGTCTTATAGACCAAATAGAACAGAATAGAATAAAATAGAATAGAAAATCCTGTTATTGTCCCACAATGGAGAAATTCTGGTGTTTACAGCAGCAAAAAGATTATAGAAAAACTGGTCACACAAATATGAAACTTAGAAAAATGTATGACTAACACAACAGTGAAGAGTTAAAAGATAAACTATAGAATACTGTACTGTGAACAATATAAAACTGTGCACCTGGAGAATAAATAACCAATATGCAGCTATGGATATTTTTACATCAATGGATATTTGAAAGTAGCAGCAACATCAGAGATGTGCAGAATGACAGCAGCAGGTTATTTAACTGACTAAGGTAGAAACTGTGAAAAACCAGCATGAATGGAAGAACTGATTGAGGTTGTTGGGAACAGTGGTGGTTCTAGAATCTTCCAGCTGCTGGGAGGAAGGATCTGTGATAACGCTCCCTGGTGCATTTAGGGTGCAGCAGTCTGTCACTGAAGGAGCTGTCCAGTTCACCACCAGCTTCATGCATGGGGGTGGGGGGGGGGGGGGGGGGGGGCATTATCCAGCAGACATTTAGTTAGAATCATTTTCCATTCAGTGATCCAAATACAGAGACTTATTTCTATGTATCACTTATGTCATGATTTGTATGGAGGTTGGTTGAGGACCCAAATGCAGAAACCTGGAGGCAGATGTGAATCTTGTAGATTTAATGAATAACTGAGGCCAAATCAAAAAATCCAAAGAAACGAAAAAACAGAAAGCATATTGAAAAACTCACGTTGGGAGCCAGAGACAAAGGAACAACTAAACAACAAGAAACCAGCACTGAGTGACTGCAGAGGTGGAGTATATAAGGGGAACAGAACAAATGATGGACTAATGAGCTGAACATGGAGCAGGTGTGAGTGGAACTAATTAGAAGGAAGCCAAGGAGAAAGGAAACAAGCACAAGGGGGCAGCAGAGAGTAGCTAAAGACTGCTTGAAGATATTGGAAAATAATAATTGAAAACTAAAAACTCAAAGTCCCAAAAGGGGAGAACCATGGCAACATATCTATTAATCCAGATAGAAATTTGGTGGAAATTAAAATTGTGTGTACATAGGTTTTCAGCATAACAACACTTGTTTGTGAAAGGAAGCTAGCTTCACAGGGAGTTTATCGATGCTAGTTTTTAAAATGCTTGAATCAACTTTCAGTTCTAACAGCGCAGGAGACCTCACAGTGAAGTCAGGGTCCAGACAGTGCAGTCATGGTCAGAGATGGGAAGTAACGAAGTACAAATACTTCGTTACTGTACTCAAGTAGATTTTTCTGATATTTTGACTTTACTTTACTACTTATTTTTATTGCGACTTTTTACTTCTACTCCTTACATTTTAACACAAATATCTGTACTTTCTACTCCTTACATTTTAAAAAATTGTCTCGTTACTTTAGTTTTGAATCATTTCAATGGAGTTATTGTTATTATTTTTCACGTCATCAATACCAAATTCAATCTAACTGGATGGGAATCTACGTTGCATTTGACGCACCACTACAAGATGAATCGACAGATTTGGCGGTATTCATTGGCGGCAAATCATTGCAGCTTGGTGGCGGTGGCGTTAGCATAGTAGCATGGACGACGAGATGATTGAAAATGAACACAACGGAGATCTAGTCCTATTGGCAGACATCCATTTAAAATGTAGGCAACGGCATGAAAAAAGTGGTTTGTACTTTTACTTTTATACTTTAAGTAAATTTACAAGCCTGTACTTTGTTACTTTTACTTGAGTAAAGAAGTTTAATCAGTACTTCCACTTTTACCAGAGTATTTTTTAACACAAGTATCTGTACTTTTACTCAAGTACGGAAAGTGAGTACTTTTGCCATCTCTGGTCAGGGTCCTGACAGTGCAGTCATGGTCCGAACTGTGCAGGTCTGCAGCCAGACCTCTCAATCTCAAGGAGAAGCCAGGAAAAACTCTCCTGGTTGTGTGAACGCATGCTTTGCCGATGACAAACTTCATAAATTAGATCTTAACATTTTACGGTTTCAGTGTTTGATTAGAATGCATAAAAAAATCTGTTTTTGACTGTTTTCAAGCTTTATAATCCAGACTTTTTTCATCACTCTGTTATGGGAAATCAAATAAAATTCCTGGTTGTGTTTAGTGTTGCATGTGTTAATACATATTTCTGTGTTTATAATCTTTAGTGTCGGTTTTATTTTGTTAAACCACACAGGCGGTCACACTTATTTTTCTGACCTACTTTGGATCAGTGTTTGATAACAGTTGTACAAATACATGAAAAATGTGTGTTTATAATTTGTGCTCCACAGAGCCAAGATGAAGACTCTCAGATGATGACTGAAGTGGACCTCTTTATCTCCACTAAAGCCGTCAAAGTGCTCAATGCTGACACACAGGTCGGTAACTCCTTTCGAGCAGATTTGATTTAATTGCTGTGTTTGTTACCTGAAACACCCCGCTTGTTTTCCTCTGCCTGCAGGAGACGATGATGGACAGTGCCCTGCGGACCATCTCCTACATTGCCGACATCGGCAGCATTGTGGTTCTGATGGCCCGGAGACGCGTGCCCCAAGCTTCATCTGAGGATTTCTCAGAGTCCTCTGATTCAGCCAGTGAAGGGAAGACTCAGTACAGAATGATCTGCTACGTCTTTGAGTCAGAAGATGTGAGCATGTTTTAATATTTTGACAACAAACTTCAGTGTGTTTTATTGGGACTTGGTGCGATAAACCAGTAAAATAAAAATGTATGGATCCTCTACCTTCCAATTAAATTCTGTCTAATTCAGCTTATTTATTGAACCAGGGCTGCTCAGTGGAGCAGTGTGTAACACTGCTACCTTCCAATTTGAGTTTGCACTGCAAAAAATGGAAACCTAAATAAGTAATTTTTTCTTAAACTAAGCGCATTTGTTCTTGAATTGAGGAGGTAATTGACATACTTTGCCAATGGAACAAGACAATTTACATTTAAAATAAGAAAAAACAACCGCATTGTCTTATTTCAAGTACATATTATCTAATAATCTTATTTTAAGAGTAAAAATACTCATTCCATTGGCAAATCATCCCATTTACCTAATAAAATGAAGGGTAAATACGCTTGATTTCAGACATTTTTACTTATTTCTAGACTATTTTTGCAGTGTGCATGTTCTCCCTTAAGATCGGTCTGTTCTCTCCGGGTACTCCGGCTTCCTCCCACAGTCCAAAAACATGACTGTTAGGTTAATTGGCTTCTCTAAATTCTCTTTAGGTGTGAGTGTGTGTTTGAATGGTTGTTTGTCCTGTTTGTCTCTGTTTTGCCCTGCGATGGACTGGAGACCTGTCCAAGTGGACCCCGCCCCTCACCGGTAGGCCGCTGGAGAAAGACACCAGCACCCCTGATAACCCCAGCAGGGATAAGTGTGACAGAAAGTGAATGGATATATTAAACCAAATCACAACATTAAGAAGCTTTAATAAAGAAGTCAGTTCAATAAAACCATATAGTTAGAGCCCTAGCTAAAAGGATACATTACAGTCTATCCCAGATACAAGGTATTCAGAAATTTCATTTATGATTCAAACTGGTGAAAATTTTTTTGATGTGAGGAAACCCAGCACCTTGCATTCAGCTCCTGACTTTCAGCATTCACTCCTCTTGGACTAGAATAAAGTGACAGTGGACAGTCACTTGGATTGTGTTGTGGACTTTTCAGCATTTTTTTTATACCAATGATGCATCTTACTAGCCCCGTGAGACCATCCTGATCTCGCGAGCTTTCAAGGTTTCACTCGCAGATCAGTCTGGAGACTCTCCGTTAAAGAAAATTTGGAGCCGTTCACCAAACGAACGTCCAATCAGCGTTGGCTTTGAGGCGGGTTGAGGCGTGACGCAACGAGAAGCGCGACAGTTCAGTCTAAAGAACATGGCGGCTTCAGCCGATGAAACTAGCGTTAGCGTGGCTATCGAGCAAGTTTTATCGGAATTACAGAGTATTTCTTCACTGAAAGAAGAGCAAAACACTGCTCTGGAGGCTTTTCTCAGAGGAAAAGATGTTTTTGCTCTTCTCCCGACTGGTTTCAGCAAGAGTTTGATCTATCAATTGGCTCCTCTTCGTCGTCGCTCTGTTAGTACGTCATATGCTTCATTGATCTGATTGGTTTATCTGGCCCGTCTATCACCAACATAGGCCAATCAGCTAACCAGTATTTTCGCCCCTTCCCAAAATTACTTCAACGGAAGGTTTCCAGATGGATATGCGGAGCAAATCCATCTGGCGGAGTCAGGTTAGCATCTTACAACAGTGAAGAGCAAATCTCCTTTTCAACACCATGAAACCGCCTGAAGAACCAGGCTAAGTGTGACAGTCTTTCTGCCACAACCAACTGGGGTTTTGATTTGACAGAGTATACATAGAAACAAAACAAAGGAATAGCCGCCCCTCCCGCTCCCACCACCCATGACGATGTCCCAACTAAACAGAACACCAGGTCAGATGGAACTACTGTGAAAATGAAAAACAGCAAGAGAAGAGAAAGCGAAAAGCTGAACCATCAGCATATGAATTGGAGTAGTAGGAGAGTGTAGCAAAATTAAGAAAAGTTGCCTTTATGCCTTCCAGCAGCCAAAGCCTATAGCAGCATAACTACAGAGATAAATCAGAATATTCTGAACCCCTATAAATTATTTAGGATTGTTTTATTAAAAGCTAACTTTTTAAGGCTATTCTTAAAGGTATATTTGGTGTTCGGCTCACGGACCAAAACCAGGACTTGGTTCTGCCTAGAATAACCTTCCTGTTGAGCAGCTTTCACAAAAGACTTAATTTTTTTTACACAGGCGCAGCTGATTGCACAGTCCATCGGTCAGGCTTTTAGCGTGGCCTACAGAGAATTCCTGCGTGCCAACGGCATCAACCCGACAGACCTTAGCCACAAACAGTACAGCGACATCATCAACTCCCAGGAAATGTACCATGATGACCTTGTCCATTTCTCAAACTCAGAGAACCGTAAAGAGGTGAGGCATTCCCATTTCCCTACAGACAATGTGAAGAGATAGCTTCATAAACGCTCTATTATCCCGGTTTAAGCTGTACGTGGAGAAGCAGAGAGGCGAGAGTCTGGGTGTGGTGATAGTGGAGTCCGGCTGGGGTTCCATTCTGCCCACTGTCATCCTTGCCAGCATGCTGAACAGCGGCCCTGCAGCTCGGTCTGGAAAACTAAGTGTGGGAGACCAGATTATGTCTATCAATGACACGAGTCTGGTGGGACTGCCATTGGCCACCTGTCAGAGCATCATTAAGGTAAGCTCATTAGCTTGGTACTCCGTGGACCATCAGATGTGCAGTTCTGGTCAAAACTTTACACACACCCATTAGTCTGCTTTAAGCCGGGCATGTGCGATTTTTTACAATCATTGCACGCAGCTACAGCTGACACTGTACGACGAAACCACAGGGTTTTGGACTCGTCTATCCTGAAGCCAAACCAGTAGAAGAGGAATCTGAAGCTCACTAGAGTGAAACGCGCTACTTTGGATATTTTTGCAATTTTGTGCTGAAAGCCCTAAAAAGAAAAGGAGACGACGTATTTGGACAAAGACATGGCTGAGCTAACGTGGCTACTACTACTAATTTTAAAGAAAGAACTCCATTTCACTCATTGCCCCCCAACATGCTGCTGGGTTTTCCTCTGAGAGGAAGAAGAAGAAGAATCCTTGTTTGCCCACTGAGCGATTTGCCCACGACCACCTTACGATGGCCGACTGAATTACAAACATGTTTGATTTTCTCCCGATCTTATGATTCCTGATGGGGAGGTATTCGTGAGAGGCTGATCGCCCCTTGTTCCTCCTGTACGCTAGACGATGCACGATCAGGTTGTAAGTTGGCTTGAATCAACTTGAATTCATGACCAGAAAGGCGGCCTGAAAAGTGCAAAAAATCGAACAGTGTTGCTTTAACCACTCCAAAATCAGTTGCATGTTTGGAGTCATTCTCCCTAATTAGGATGTCCCAATGGTGCCCTTAGCTGTTGATTGGTGTAAAAGAATTGGAGTCAATCCTCTTGCATTTTTCTTTCTTCTTTTCACACAAGTAGCGCTGACCTGTACCGCAGCATGGTGAGGGTATTCCAAAAATATTTTGCAAGGCTAAGTATGGCAATACAAGTAAATCCACTTTAAGAGCAAACAGCAAGATGATAAAAGAGGTTTCCAGAAACACTAAATCATCATAATGGAACCAACTGTAGGCTGAGAAAGAGGTTGAGGAGATTGTACAAAGTTAACGTTTATGAAAGGAACCGGTTAATGTTAAAGAAAGTGTTCTTTCTGTCAAATTGACAGACCGTAGTAGCCACATTTGCTCAGCCATGTCTTTGTCCAAATACGTCGTCTCCTTTTCTTTTTTGGGCTTTCAGCACAAAATTGCCCAAATATCCAAGGCAGCGCGTTTCACTCTAGTGAGCTTCATGTTCCTCTGCTACTGGTTTGGCTTCCGGATCGACGAGTCTGAGTAGCGCCATCTCACTGCGGAGCTGAGTCCCACCTGGTTTTTAGACGTACAGTGAGCAGGTAGATCGCATCAGAGCGTTGGGTCGCATAGCGTGAGAACAAACATTGTGAGCTGGGAACTTTTCAACCATGTGGTTTCGTGTTACAGTGTGAGCCGTCCGGGCCCAAATCTTAATGATGGTATGATGGCATTAAGGCCCTTTGTAACTGTTTTATTCAACATCTTCCAGGGTTTGAAGAATCAGGTGAAAGTGAAGCTGAGCATTGTCAGCTGCCCTCCTGTTACTACAGTCCTCATCAAGAGACCGGACCTCAAGTATCAGCTCGGCTTCAGTGTTCAGAACGGCATAGTGAGTAAAACCCCAAGACTGAAGGTCTACAAGCATTAAGGACCTGAGTGCTTTGCTTCTGAACTTGGTGTGTTTTGGTCAGATCTGCAGTCTGATGCGAGGCGGCATTGCTGAACGAGGCGGGGTCCGGGTTGGACACAGAATCATCGAAATAAACGGGCAAAGTGTTGTTGCCATGGCACACGAGAAGATTGTTCAAACTCTGTCTGTCTCAGTGGGCGAGGTAAGACCGTGTCAGACTGCAAGGCAGCAATTTGAGCACGTTGAGCCTTAGAGAATGACAGAATGACACGTTGGCCTTTTATTCACATACTGGAATTGCTTTAGGACTAAAACTCAGATCCATGTAGTGAAACATCCCTTTATGGCAGGGATGTCCCCAAACAAAATACTGATCAACCAAAATTAAGGTAAACCCTTGAAATAGTGTTTTTAATAAGGAATGTTTGTAATTATTGGCGAAATGTGTTGTTCAGAAAATGATCTAATCAAGTATAAACAATAAAACAGAGAAGAAATATCAAAGGTTATCTAAACATGAGTAATAATCAAAAATGAGCTGTAGATTTTTTTTTATTTGCATGAGTTTAGATGTGATTTGACTAAACTAACATTGTTCTAACAAACTTCTCTTTCTGATAAATACTGCCCCCTAGTGTTTTTCAATTGGCATTACACTTTAGATTTCAAGCATGAGGAACATGAGGCCACTGATCTCTATTTATTCAATGGATTGCTGATTACCTGAAAAAAATGAAGCTACGGAGACGCACAGTAAAAATGCCTCCCTGTGCAGCATTTGGCTGCAAAAACAAGCAGCCTGCTGGCTGTGGGAAGACGTTCCACTGGTTATTTCACTGTCAGAGGATGAACTAACCTAGAAAAATCAATATATATGCCATTATATCCTATAATATAGTAAGTAGCATAACATTAGTCTGGCTATCCTGGGTTGATTAAAAGATATTGACTGAGTTAGCATTGATATTGTGTCTAAAGTTAGAAAACAGAAAGTAAATAGAAAGTAAATCAGTGTCAAATGTCAATGTAGTAATTCTTTATTAAGCTGTTGTTTCTGTAGTGTTTGTTGTATTTCTCATTTTCAAAAGGCATGTGCTGAAATACATTGCATTTTATATTGATGGAAAAAAACAACTCAAAACATTTGACCCATACATATAGCCTACGTTATCAGTATGTTCTTGTAATTCAGTCTTTATGTAAAATATTGAAATTACATGTAAAATGGCATTACAAAAGCAATCAATTAATGTCACTTAGATGGTTATGGGATATTGCGGGCTAGCAACTGAAGCCAGACGACCCCCATTCCAAAGGGGTGGACCCCTTCTTGTAATGATCTCAGAATATTGGACCCAGAATTCAAGGCGAGGCAGGCAGTGGGAAAGTTCAAAGCATTTATTTAACAAACTGGTGCGCGGGGCTGCTCGTCTGCTGCGGGGCGGATCTCTGATTCAAAGTTCAGTCCGTTCGCGGAGGTCTGACCGCAGTTGCGGCGGGCGACGCCCCCAGAGTTCCTAGAGAGCGAGCAGCCGACGCCGAGCAGCAACAGAGTCCAGAAGGGAAATCAAAGGCCGAAGTCAGGAGAAAGTTCCAGGTTCAGAAGCCGGTAGAATCCAGGATCAGACAGGACAAACAGAGCAGACAGGGGCAAGGCAAAAACTCGAAATCCTCAGGGCAGAAAACTGGTCAATATCAGGAAAACAGGCAGACTAAAGATTGCTAGGTAACGTCTCACAAAAACACACGAATAACCTGGCGCTGATGGGAGGCAAACACACAACTTAAATAGTAGAGGAACCAGGTGGATCGGCGATAATCAGCCGCAGAACCAATTAGACAGGGGAGCAAGGAGCAAAGGAAAAAACCAAACCATCAGCGCCAAGATCTGACATTCTGAATTCTGACATTTGGAAGTGAAAAAGCTTCCTGGATGGAAGAGAAACGTCTTCAAACTTGGAAACAAAGTCCAGAGGATTGATTTTTAGTTTTTTGGAATGACTATGACCAAAAGGACTGAGAAACTTCACCAGCATTTAGCAAGATGTAGTATGGCAATACAAGCAAATTCACTTTAAGAGCAAATATCAAGATGATAAAAGAGGTTTTCAGAAATTCTAAGACATCATAATTTAAACCAACTGTAGGCTGAGAAAGAGGCTGAGGAGATTGCACCAAGTTATGAAAGGAACTGGTTCTTTTAAAAGAAGTTGTTTGCTACCACACTGGAAAAACGATCTACAAACAAGTTAAAATTTCCTGAATTAAGTGTATTTACCCTTAATTTGAACAGGTTAATTAGATATTTTGCCAATGGAATGAGTATTTTTACTCTTAAAATAAGATATTTAGATAATATGCAATTAAAATAAGACAATGCAACAGTGTTTTCTTATTTTAAGCGTAAGTTGTCTTGTTACATTGGCAAAATGTCTCTTTTTACCTCCTCAATCCAAGAAAAAATGCACTTATTTGAAGAAAAAAATGACTTATCTAGATTTCCATTTTTTCCAGTGCAAAAGATCTGGAAAACATTTTTGGACAGATGAACTTAAAATTCAGTAATTTGGACACAACAATAGAGGATATGGACATTATGCCAAACAGTAAATACAAGAGTCCTGTATACAACCTGTTAAAGCAAGGAGGTGTAGTTAGGGATGCACGATATTGGGATTTTAGCCGATATCTGATATGCCGATATTTTAAAACTCATGTAGCCGATAACCGATATCGATACCGATGTTCAAGCTGGACAAAAGTAAGTAGTCATTGAAAATAGCAGTTTTGTTATCCATTTCTGACACTTTGAAAAATAATATACTCAAATATATTTTCATATGCTGATATCAAATAGATTTTTAAAAACGCGGTATCGATCTATTTTACTTTTAAAATCTCGTGAAATTTCATCGTTCTGTTACAAACTCTCGTGATATTTTGCAAATTCTTGTGAGATTTTGTTAGTAAAATAGATCGATACCGCGTCAATATATCAACATATAAAAATATGGCAACATTTGGTGAATTTTCGGAGGATTTCGTAGCATAACGATGACATATAGCAATATTTCATTAGTAAAAGAGATTGATATGGTGTTTTTAAATGGCAATATATCAGCATATGAAGATATTGGGATATTTTAATGGATCAATATTTTTTCCCTCGTCTTTAGAAGTTTTTAAGTCTGTAAAAAAGAAGTTTTTGAGGAAGAAGAAGAAGTAGTATTTTTTTTTTTTTAGACTTTAGAAACTCAGAAGCTGATCAAATATCGGGTTAAATATCGGTGGGGTGGCCGATGTCCGATATTCAGTTTTAAGGCCGATACCGATAGGGGGCCGATTATATCGTGCATCCCTAGGTGGAGGTGTTATGGTTTGAGGATAAACACAATCAGCTGCACACTAAATGCTACCATCCTCGACTGATTTCATGCTGTAAAAATGTTCGTTTTGATATTGCAGCTTTATGGAAGTTGATTGAATGAAGTCTCAGTAGGATGCATTATGGTCGTGACTGGATCAATTTAAGCTATTAAAATATTTACATGGCCGCCCTGTCTCATCACGTCTTCCCTTGTGCCAGATCAACATGAAGACGATGCCTGCTGTGATGTTCAGACTCCTGACCGGACAAGAAACACCCGTCTACATTTAGCACGGATCCATCCTCCGGAGTCCAGGTCGTCCAGCGCTCGATGGGTCACCCATTGGGACGGAGGGAATTTATTTTTCTACCATTTTAAATTGTTTTGCTTCTTGTCGCAATGCTGTAAAGAAAATCATTTCCAGGTCTTATCTTGAATTACATCATCATAATGGCCTTATAATGTGAATACCGTCTGTAGTACTGTACGTGAGGTTATGGTGTCAAAGAAAAGTAGCTTTATGGTCATGATTATTTTCCTATGAAGAGATAAATTAGCACATTTATTTTTTATTTAGTCATTTTTATAATGCGTATGGGGTTATAAAATGTACTTATACTGTAAATACTTTGGGTTCCTCTCGGGCTTTGTTGGGAAGGCCATAACTACTCCTGCAAAACAATGCAGTATGCATGTGATTGTGGAAAAATAACAGACCAGGGATTCAATCTCGATCTGACATGATAATCTATTACAGTAAGCATTACAAGTCAACAAAAACACGATGTACAAAGGCACCGAACTCTGCATTACGGCAACGCTGAAGGCCAAAGACACACACCTTGTTGGGGAGATAAAGTAGCCACACTTTGAGGGACAGAGAGTACTAGAATGTATCAATATACTCATTACTGGATGAATGTAATGAAAAAGAAAGTACAATTTCTCTCCTAAACTTGTGTTTGTTTTTCTTTTATTAACACTTTGCTGCAGAAAACATCCTGAAAACTTAAAAAAAAGCAACAATAAATACAGAAAACTTCTTTTTTTCTCCTATTAAAACCAACAAACATGTGCCAAAATTAATGTTTCACAATAACCTCTGATACATAAATAGTTTTTAAAGTAATTTGAAATGAGTTAAGATTAATGTATTAAAATATATTACTGTAAAACTTACACAGTATAAAAAAAAAACATTGCTTTCAGTTTCCCTTTTAAGACGTTAAAAATATAGACATGTATTTACAGTTTAACACAAAAACAGGCTAACATGGTTAGAAATGTTTTGTAACATATTCGACCAAAAAATATTCAAGTAGGGATTACAGGAGAGCGTTTGATGGCTTCATAGATGCTCCTGGAAAACACAAAATATTTGCAGTTTTAATTCAGGGATTCCGGAAACACGACAGTATTAATTGTCTTTGTATTATTTCCTCATTCAGAGCGAAAAGAAATCAAAAAAAGCACACACTGCAAAAAATGTAAATCTAAATAACTAATTTTCGCTCAGATTATGTGCATTTTTTCTTGAATTGAGGATGCAAGTGAGGCACTTTTCCAATGGAACAAGACAATTTACATTTAAAATAAGAAAAAAAACTATTGCTTTTTCTTATTTCAAGTGTATATTATCTAAGTATCTTATTTTAGGAGTAAAAATACTCCATTCCATTGGCAGATCATCTTATTTGCCTGCTCAATTTAAGGGTAAATACACTTAATTTAAGACATCTTTTACTTATTTCTAGATGTTTTTTGCAGTGCAATCAATGTGTTCACTGCAAAAACAATCTAAAAATTAGTAAAAATGTGTATTTAGCCTTAATTTAAACAGGTAAATAGGATAATCTGCCAATGAAATGAGCATTTTTACTCTTAAAACAAGTATAAAATAAGATAATTAGATATTATGCGATTGATATAAGAGACTGAAGTTGTTTTTTTACTTATTTTAAATGTAAATTGCCTCATTCCATTGGCAAAGTGTCTCCCTTAACTGCTTAATTCTAGAAAAAAGCTCTTATTTTAAGAAAAATAAACTTACTTAGATTCACATTTTTTATAGTTTATAAGGTAAGGCACTGTTACACATGAAGACACATGGCAATATGAGCATAGGCTTGTCCCGATCCGATCCATGTATCGGATCGGGACGCCAATATTGGCAAAAATATGCGTATCGGCAAAGCATGTAAAAATGCCGATCCAGACTGCCGATCCAGTTTTAAAAAAAAAATCCGGTCCGTATTTTCCAGTTTTGCCGATTGAAACGATCCATTCCACTATTTTGCGCCAGTTTTCCCCTGTTTTGCATTTTTATTAAAACTTACAGTAATATAGCACCTTTAACTGTTTACGGTTTTACTGTTCACTGTGCAATATTAGATTGCTATTCATAATTTTGTCCAGTTTGTGTTTATCTCTTAATAAACAGGTAAGTTTGTTGTTACCAATCATTGTGTTTTATTCAATCTCACCTAATTTAGCTGGCTAGATGTTATCAAGAGTACTAAAACCCTTTTCAACATGAGTCTTACAACTAAGGCTAAATACTTTAACTTAAACTTAAATACATGCTCGGATAGGCTGGTATCGGCCAGTATCGGTATCGGATCGGAAGTCCAAAAACAATATCGGTATCGGATCAGAAGTGCAAAAACCTGGATCGGGACATCTCTATATGAGCATATTGCATCCCAACTTACTGGTATAACTTTAGGGGTCAGTGGTAAATACGTCTCCCCACTCAGGAAAAGTGAGTTCAGGTAACCTTCTCGACGAGGCTGGTCCTCATCCTCACAGCTGTCCAATCCAACGCTGAAAGCTGCTTTTATCTTGTCTGGCATCAGAAAGTTCAGCATCACCACAGAAATCCCGATGATGGTGCACAGCAGTCCTGGAAGTCATCTCAGTTAGCAAACATCTAAACATTTTCCACAGTTTCATTTTTATACACATCTACAGCTTTGGTGCCTCTAAAAGAGTAGAGTAAAAAAAAAAAAACATTAATTCATTCTGTTAAATGAGGAAGTTATGTCCCCTAAAAAGCAGTTGCCCCTCGGGGCTTCCCCACTGGTTCTTTTCCTGGGAGCAAGTTACTTACTACTCTTAACTCAAACTGGGTAAAACCATATAAAAAAAGGACTATAAAAACAGGAGTAAAAAAGTAACAGAGTTTATTCCAGATCAGGTCGTTACAGGACAGAGAAAATGCTTGGAGGTTGCACAGCTGTGGGCTCAAAAATCACGTCCGCGAGCGTCCGGCAAAGATTGAGCCCCGAACAACGTCATCTTCTCCTTCTTAAAGCTCATGAGTCTATGTGTTGCATCATGTGGATGTTTAGCTGTCCGTATCAGAAACTGACACGCCATCCATGCCCGAGGATTACAGATAGCTCTCCTCTATCAATCCGGCTCCAAGATGTGCCCATATCCCGTGTATCTTTAAAAGACAAGAAAGCTGTCCTATTTAGATGACCCACTTACACAAAGTGAAGGAAGGTCATCTAATCTCTCTATCTGGCTAACAAAGTAACATGAACATGATGTATAAAAGAATAAACCTAACAATTTATCAAGTTTTTGTTAAATGCAACTGTTTATTTTGGGTATATTTCATCAGTTTTTTGTTTAAAAATAATAAAACAGTTGGATTTTACTGGTGTCCAGTAGTAACTGGGCGAGAGGGAAGGTAGGTCACCAGTCCATCACTGGGCAAAACAGAAACCCTATAAAACCATAGACATCATATAAGAGTAGACTCTACATCGATCGCTTTCGCCTTTGGGCGCCGACGTGATTTTGTGGCGCCATCTTGGGGCGGTTGACAGCTTGCTCAGTGTAATGTGTTAAGCAGGCACAGAATCAATTTTAATCAACTTTATCAAACATTTTCACATTTAATTTTTTTTTGCTGAAAACAAACAAATGGTTTGGTTTCTTTAAATAATCTTAGTGGGGTTAAGAGTAACACAATATTCTTATAGGATGCATGTATGTTGCAAAGCACAGTCCCTCAGACCTTTTTATAATTTTTTCATTAGTATAAACAGAAACATATTTATATGCACATATATACATAAAGATATCTCTCACTCTATGTATATATATATATATATATATATATATATATATATATATATATATATATATATATACACTATATTGCCAAAAGTATTTGCTCACCTGCCTTGACTCACATATGAGCTTAAGTGACATCCCGTTCCTAATCCATAGGGTTCAATATGACGTCGGTCCACCCTTTGCAGCTAGAACAGCTTCAACTCTTCTGGGAAGGCTGTCCACAAGGTTTAGGAGTGTGTTTATGGGAATTTTTGACCATTCTTCCAGAAGCGCATTTGTGAGGTCGCACACTGATGTTGGACGAGAAGGCCTGGCTCTCAGTCTCCGCTCTAATTCATCCCAAAGGTGTTCTATCGGGTTGAGGTCAGGACTCTGTGCAGGCCAGTCAAGTTCATCCACACCAGACTCTGTCATCCATGTCTTTATGGACCTTGCTTTGTGCACTGGTGCACAGTCATGTTGGAAGAGGAAGGGGCCAGCTCCAAATTGTTCCCACAAAGTTGGGAGCATGGAATTGTCCAAAATGTCTTGGTATGCTGAAGCATTCAGAGTTCCTTTCACTGGAACTAAGGGGCCAAGCCCAGCTCCTGAAAAACAACCCCACACCATAATCCCCCCTCCACCAAACTTTACACTTGGCACAATGCAGTCAGACAAGTACCGTTCTCCTGGCAACCGCCAAACCCAGACCCGTCCATCAGATTGCCAGATGGAGAAGCGCGATTCGTCACTCCAGAGAACGCGTCTCCACTGCTCTAGAGTCCAGTGGCGGCGTGCTTTACACCACCGCATCCGACGCTTTGCATTGCACTTGGTGATGTATGGCTTGGATGCAGCTGCTCGACCATGGAAACCCATTCCATGAAGCTCTCTGCGCACTGTTCTTGAGCTAATCTGAAGGCCACATGAAGTTTGGAGGTCTGTAGTGATTGACTCTGCAGAAAGTTGGCGACCTCTTCGCACTATGCGCGTCAGCATCCGCTGACCCCGCTCCGTCAGTTTACGTGGCCTACCACTTCGTGGCTGAGTTGCTGTCGTTCCCAAACACTTCCATTTTCTTATAATACAGCTGACAGTTGACTGTGGAATATTTAGGAGCGAGGAAATTTCACGACTGGATTTGTTGCACAGGTGGCATCCTATCACAGTTCCACGCTGGAATTCACTGAGCTCCTGAGAGCGACCCATTCTTTCACAAATGTTTGTAAAAACAGTCTGCATGCCTAGGTGCTTGAATTTATACACCTGTGGCCATGGAAGTGATTGGAACACCTGATTCCAATAATTTGGATGGGTGAGCAAATACTTTTGGCAATATAGTGTATATATAGATAAACAAATAAAATAAATAAATAAATAAAACAGTCTGTTCATTTAAACAAAACTACGCTGCAGTGCTGAGGCATCCTTCTTCTGTTCTGCTTAAAGCAGCAGGTTAGTGTAGCAGGTCGACCTCCCCAAGATGGCGCCCCCAACAGTCAATGCGGGGTCTACTCTTATATATATTTGTCTATGGTATAAACACCCTCACTTACATTAATTACTATAGTATAAATAGGCCAGTTTGTCTAATAATCTTTAGACTCTGGGAGGAAGGCAGAGTACCCAGCGAGTACCAACATGTGCAAAGAGAGAACATGCACACTTCATGCAAAAAGACCTAGAGCTGTTAGCCTCGTGAGACCAACCTGATCTCGCGAGCTTTCAAGGTTTCACTCGCAGATCAGTCTGGAGACTCTCCGTTGAAGAAAATTTGGAGCCGTTCACCAAACGAACGTCCAATCAGCGTTGGCTTTGCGGCGGGTTGAGGTGTGACGCAACGAGAAGCGCGACAGTTCAGTCTGAAGAACATGGCGGCTTCAGCCGATGAAACTAGCGTTAGCGTGGCTATCGAGCAAGTTTTATGGGAATTACAGAGTATTTCTTCACTGAAAGAAGAGCAAAACACTGCTCTGGAGGCTTTTCTTAGAGGAAAAGATGTTTTTGCTCTTCTCCCGACTGGTTTCGGCAAGAGTTTGATCTATCAATTGGCTCCTCTTCGTCGTCGCTCTGTTAGTACGTCATATGCTTCGTTGATCTGATTGGTTTATTTGGCCCGTCTATCACCAACATAGGCCAATCAGCTAACCAGTATTTTCGCCCCTTCCCAAAATTACTTCAACGGAAGGTTTCCAGATGGATATGGGGAGCAAATCCATCTGGTTGAGTCAGGTTATTGAGCTGTAATTCCAGCCCAGGACCTTCTTGCTGCAAAGCAACATACCTACCAACTGAATCAGCTTGCAAGTCTAACTGCTTACAGGAAAGAGGTATTATCAAAGAGGCACTATGACGAACCAGTCTGGATGAGGACCAATGTTTGGGTCGCCAGCGTGCAGGAAGGGGAGGACATCAAGGAAGGTAAAACAAACGGGGAAAAAAACTCCAGACCTATGCTATCCTAGGAAACCAACTTCCCACAATAAATAGGAGATTCTTTTCTTATAATTATGTGGAAGAACATCTGATGCTCAATGTGAGGTATGGTGGTTGATCTGTAGTGGTTTGAATCAGCTTTTGAGCTGAAAACCAGGATAGAGGTCATGAAATCAAGTCATTAAAGAAATGAGGCATTTGAAATCTGAACCTGTTAAAACAGCCACTACTGAAGGACGCTGATGTCCCATGGAAGTGGGGTTATACGTAAACTCCTTAAAGTTCTCACCTGTAGCCAGAGCCAGCCAAAATGAATGGCTGTACTCCGTCACAAAGGAGTCTTCACCTAGGGAGAAAACACACCGAGGCACATTCATGATGGTGGAGAAGGACGCCATGGAGAAGAAGATGCAGGCGGCAGTGGCCATGGTCATGTACCCGGCGTACAAAACGACCGGTAAGGAGAAGAGGATGTTGGCGACGATCCAGCAGCAAAATGCTGTCCTACAGAGCAGTTAGACATGGAACGATATTTTAATTATTACTGTTAAACATGTTTGCTTTCATGTGTGTTAAGTAGGAGTTGTTAATAAATACCAGAGAGTTGCAGAGGCGAATCGCCCGGAGTATCTGTACTGAAAGATCAGACCACAGGGGCTGCTCAGGGTGAATTTTTCCAGGATGTAGAGGATGGGGTTGGGTAAACCCTTCCGCAGAGCTTGCTCATACTCTTCTTCAACTATTTCATGCCAGCTGAACATCTCATTGTAGTTAATGGTCTCATTGAACTGTATGATGGGATTGCCTGAGAGAAAAGAGAACAACGGTCAGGAGGGTAAACCCATTAAATCATTATTATCATATTATAAAAGGGAAACCTGTCATCTCTGCTGGCTCTAATTTAGATATTCTACAAATAAACCTGATGCAGGACAAAAAGCCAGAGGTTGGAAAGGTAAACCCACCCTGCATTGCAGCAGGGGGGATAAAACAATTCTTTATTTAGCCACTTTTCAGACCCCTCTAGCACTTTGATTTCTAAAAAACTCCTAGCGCCAAATCTAGAGATTTTTTTCTGCTACTGGAGACTTTGGAGACAACATCTAAAAGCAGCGAACTCTGCTCTTCAGAGCAAGTAGATTGGTAACCCCGCCTCCTGCTCTCCTCTATCTTGTCTGCTGTCATGATTCATGCAGCTATTATTTCATCCAAATGAAAAATGGAGAACAGATAAGCAGATCATGGCTTGTCTACAGTGAAAAGAAGGACTGGGTTATTTACTTTGGCCTTTTTGGAAACACAGGAAGGAGCAATCAGCTAAGTGAGCTTAGTGCTTGGAAAAAATCTTTCATTCCTTTAGAGACAGCATGAAAAGTCAGCTGAGTACAAAACATAGAGAGGAAAACAAGAAGAAAAGGGACAAGAAGAGAGGGACACAACCTAGAACAGATAATGGATGTCTATTCTATTAACATTTCTACATCTGGAGAATGGGGCTGTTTGATGTGCTGTCTTCTCAATTCAGAGGGGCCCCTGCCTGGGGATTTGCCCAACATATCCATCTGGAAACCTTCCATTGAAGTAATTTTGTTAAGGGGCGAAAATACTGGTTAGCTGATTGGCCTATGTTGGTGATAGACGGGCCAAATAAACCAATCAGATCAACGAAGCATATGAAGTACTAAGAGAGCGACGACAAAAACACAACCACAAGCCAGGCTAACTCTTGTCGAAACCAGTCGGGAGAAGAGCAAAAACATCTTTTCCTCTGAGAAAAGCCTCCAGAGCAGTGTTTTGCTCTTCTTTCAGTGAAGAAATACTCTGTAATTCCGATAAAACTTGCTCGATAGCCACGCTAACGCTAGTTTCATCGGCTGAAGCCGCCATGTTCTTTAGACTGAACTGTCGCGCTTCTCTTTGCGTCACACCTCAACCCGCCTCAAAGCCAACGCTGATTGGACGTTCGTTTGGGGAACGGCTCCAAATTTTCTTTAATGAAGAGTCTCCAGACTGATTAGCGCAAGAAATCTTGAAAGCTTGCGAGATCAGGATGGTCTCACGAGGCTAGCCTGTCTTTGCTAGGGCCCCAAATTTTCGAAATCCGCCCCTGCCCTGGAGAAGAAACTATTAACACTATTAAATAAAAGCATTTTTACAGTAAAACAAATGATAATAGACAAATATACAGGCCCATGCATTAAATAATGCAACACAGGAGACAAACACACCATTTAATTTAGTCATATATATATTTTTGCATTTTTAACATACAGGATAGTGTTGGGATCTGGAGGTCTGTCCATTTTTCTCCACCAGAGGGCGTTCTAGGTCTCCTGGAGCTGGAGCTGACTTCACCACCTGCGGCTCGTTTGCTCATCAGGAGACCAGCATATAAGGAGGCAGAGGACATCACTCCGACGCCAGAGTGTTTTGCCAGTTATGGTTGACAAGCCTGAGCCAACCTGCCTGTCTGAATCTCTGACCCCCAGAAAGCCTGAACCTGAACCTAATCTGTTTTGTCCTCTCTGCTTCCCAGGTTGAACCTGCCAGAAACCTGAAACCTGGAAGAGTGTCTCTGTTGGAAATCTGTCAGTCTGATCTCTGAAGAACCCTCGAGAATCTCTCAGAGAATATCTCAGAAGAATCTGAAAGGGAAACTCAAACCTGTTGCCTGCAAACTCTCAAACCAAGCTCTGCCTCCGCCAAGCCCTCAGCCTGCCGACAGCCTCTGGACCCTCCTGGTTCCCCCTCTCTGCCGCTCTGCTCAACTCCCGATCAGGTACTGACCTGCACTCTCTAAACTCTGCAAATTACCGGGACTTCAGCTAACCACTCTGTCCCCCTCTGCAGTGAACCCAGTCGTGACCAGTCCTGGATCTGATAACCCCTTGGATCAGTTCTTTATTCTCTAAATAGTTTCAATAAACCTTTGAACTTTTTCCCTTGTGTCCGTGTGTTCTGCATGTGGGTTAGAAACCTTAAACCAAACATACAGGATAGTTCTTGTGTGTTTAAGGTGGCATTTAACAACTTTAAATACCTATTGAGAATTTTGTATAATAGCAGGAGTGTGTGCAGTCTTTTTATTATGCTATGTGCATTGTGCAACATGCATCCAGCTAGAATTAATTTGCATCCTGCACAGGATTTTCTTTTAAACAATCTAATAGTGCAGGTGGCCATTGAAAACAAAGACTGGGGCTGGTTAAGCCATGAAAGCGTCCGACACACTGGCAGTAAGAGTGACTCACCTCTAAGCGTCACGTTTATGCCGTACAGCCCAACATGCAGGCCAACCTCAGCCTGGATGACGGCATTACTGAAGGACTTGTAGGTAGCGTTTGTGGTCATCCTCGCCTCGGCCCAGCTGTTAGTGAAGTTCAGAGCTGCACAAAAAGGATAAGAAGATAATTAATGATGTGTGATAAAAGAGAATTGAACATTTTGCATAGATTTAAAAGTTAATACACAACCTACCCACTATAACCACACCTATGAACAAGCTGATGAGTATCCTGAACATCCAGAAGACCCGCTGGATTAAAAACAGGTATGAAGGAGATTAATACAATAGAAAAGCATTAAATATTTAATGCTCCTGCTTCATCTCCGTAAACAAAGGTTACTGCTTTCACTCACCGCCCTTCCTCGTATTCCAGGCAGGATGAGAAGAAGACTGACTGCCAGGATGAGGAAGACCAGAATAATGGCGAGCAATCGGCCGCTGATGATGAAGGCAGTCCTTTGTTGCGGGTAGAACGGGTAAATGTCGTCGTAGAAAGTCATCTTAGCTTCTGATCTAAGGATTCAGCCGAGACTAGGTAGCCAAACAGAGGAGCTAGTGTTAGAGAGCAGCTTCTCACTTTCCCCCAGGTGCAGAGATAACCGTTTTCCTTACAACTGATAAGGAAACTATCACCCTAAGGCGCAACTCATTATTCAACCTGAAGCGTTTGAGTTTATGGAGTAACTGCTTGCTATGTGTGCAACTTGCAAAAATACAGAAAGAACTCTAAAAGGCAGAGGATAATAGCTCCATCTGCTGCTGGAATGATTGCAACATCCTTTAATGTAAAAAAAATAAAATAAAACAAGAAATATTATCTTTTATTTAAAAAAAAAAGATGCAGTCTTACCTGAGATGTGCAGGAAAATGAGTGAAGAAGAAAGGCGTGAAGTCTGTCGCTGGAAATGTTCTCTTCCTTTATACATGTGGACCCCTCCTGTCACAGGAGGAGGAGGAGATGAAGACAGCGATGACTGGAAGGCTGTGGAAAAAGAGGAGTGACCCTGACATGTATGGCCATTATTTTGGGGGGGAATAGGTCACATATGCATGAGGTGAGCAACAGGTGAAGGCTGCAAGTGTTGCATGATCTCTCAGCTGGTGAGGATCTCTGCCTCTGCAGTGGGTGAGACTCTTCCTTTTATTCAGCTTCATGATTTTTTAGCTTTTCAGTGTTTTATTGAGCTTTATAATAGAACCTCACACATCCAGCTACTCATTGCAATGCAGAATAATAAATATTATTTGTTAATCTTCCAAATAAATAGATAATTTATCATGGAAATGTTGATATGAGTGCAGTGTTCAGTTACCTGCACGTAGTCTTCACTTTTCAGAAGTCCTTCTTTCCTCTTGGCTTCATCCTGAGGCAAGAAGCGCCTCTCGCATCAATGGGTTTGCGTAAATGGGTCTGCAGAGTGTGTGCAGCTGCTGGCCTGGTGTTCTTTCTTTGTCAGGGTAAGTGAAGCGCTGCAGCTTTTTATTATTTGAACTATAAAATAGATGCAGTTCGTAAATCTGTTTTTGCTTTGGCTGCAGATTCCCAAGGTGAAAGAAGCTGGGAGGTGCCTCGCTTTGACGGCTGGTATAACAGCTTGGCGCATCCAGAGCGCGGAGCCGTCGGTGGGTCCCTGCGCTCAGGATGACCGCCCTGCTTCCCCACGCACGCTCACTGACTCTGTGTTCCTGACAGGTTCCCATCTCCTGCGCCTCGTGCCCGCGCGCTACTGGGATGGAGTCTACCAACCTGTGCACGAGCCGGTTCAGCCGAACGCGCGCGCGCTGAGCAGGCTACTGGCCGGAGGCCCCTCCGGTCTGCCCTCAGCGCGCAACCGGACCGTCCTGTCTCTGTTCTTCGGTAAATATGGAGGCTTTCACCAAACTTAGAGGCATTTATAAACATAGGAGGCTATAATGAGGAAAAGAAAACCCTCTTAGGAACATTCCTTAGAGATGCGCAAAGATAGCAAATTGTTTTGGGGAAAAGGGAGTAGAAATAAATAAACAAATTATTATTATATTTTTTTAAAACACATGTTGGTAGGAAGAATTTATTCAAATAAATGTTTTAACAAGATAACCATTAATGGGCCTATTTTAGTTCCTGAAAAGCAAATTAAAGATCTGAAGGTATTATTAAAGATGTGTAGACTCTGATGTTCTTTACATTTGTAAGATTGAAATTCCTGGCAGTATTAGAAAAAAACAAAAAAACGTTTTTTCCCCCATCAGTATAATCTTCGTTTCAAAATTTAAGCCTACCTAAACTCTAAGTTACCAAATAAACAAAACAGTTTATATTTTAAAATCCAGCATCTTAAAGGCATAAAAGAAAACATCGGATTTTCTGGCCTCCATTCAGCCTTCCTGTTATTTGCTGAAAGTGTACTTCTCTCTTTGCAGTGAATTACCTACAGATTTCATTTATGGTTAAAATGAAGTGTTATAAATAATATCTAGTCTGCTTTACAGCAATATAGATAAATATCCATATAAATACCCTGTGAAATAACCCTGTTTAATAATCATGCTTTAAAAGAAAGACTTCAGCTGTCATATATATATATATATATATATATATATATATATATATATATATATATATATATATATATATATATATATATATATATATATATATATATATATATATATATATATATAACTGTTATAAAAAGATGTGCTGCAAGTACTATATATACCCCCATGCACTTTTCTTCGTTTGGCAACTGCTTCTCCTTTTTTCACTATTTGAGCCGATCTAACGAGTACATTTCTCCACTGTAAGATGAAAAGTAAATCAATCAATCACCATTATTTTTATTATATATATATATATATATATTAGGTATGATACGTTCACTGATCCTTGAAATATTTGATTTTTAAGTGTCCAACTACTTCTGAGAATTTGGACCTAAATGCGGTCATGTGCATCAAATACAAAGAAATTTGAATATTGCTCCCAGAAATGTCTTTACAAAGTTGCTCTTCAGCAATTATATTGACAGGTTGTTTAATTATTAATTAAATAACCGTTGAGATAGAAACAATTTTTCATAGTCTTTGTCAGAACCTGGATACAGACTCACTCAGAAATGTCACAATAAACCATTTTAGGCTCAGAACAACACAACATGGTTATTCTCCTGGGATGGATTCATCTCTGTGTTGCACACCTCCTAATCCTGTTTATGGTTACTGGAGAGCGCGGTGAGAGGCAGGGTAAACCTTAGACAGTTGCAGACCATCAGAGACCAGAACCAGACTCCCCAAAACAAAAACAAAAATTTAGATAAACTTTTACCTAGAAGCAGTTTAGAGTCAAACATGGATATTGGGATGAAGCAGAGTATGCAGAGAATGGGAGAGCATGTTGGGGAAGATTCTCAGTCATCCAGGTCACAGTCATTCCAAAAAAAGTTAAAAATAATCCACTGGACTTTGTTTCTAAGTTTGAAGACGTTTCTCTTCCCATCCAGGAAGCTTTTTCTATTCCAGGTGTCAGAAATAGTGCTGAGTTGCAGGCTTTATAGAGTGGAGCAAAAAGGAAGCCTAATTGAACCAGAAGAACAGGTCCGCCCCTTAGGAATGTTTTGTTTTTAGTCGGCTCTATAAAGCTTCAAACTTAACGCTATTTCTGACATTTTGAATTGAAAAAGCTTCCTGGATGGGAAGAGAAACGTCTTTAAACTCTGGAAACAATGTCCAGGGGATTGTTTTTTAGCTTTCCTGGAGAGCATGTTAGCATCTCAGGCAAGATTTCAGCCTTTATGAGTCTTTTCTGGGAGAAAAAAGCAATGATTAGAGCACTACTGAGTTACAGGCATCCATCAGTTCCTCACCCAAAGTTTCCTTTGCTTTTGGAATAATACATAATTTTAGAGTAAGGCTTAACAGAAGGTTTATTAAGATGCTGATATTTCCTTGTTTTAATTTGATATCAAATGAATTTGTTTAGTAAACGCTGATGAACATGTTGCTCACCTGGTTAATTCCTCTGAAACTGTTTCAGGTTACCACGTTGCGTTTGAAATCTTTGACCTGAGAGCTCCTGGTTGTCCTCCTCAGTTCATGAACATCAAAGTCCCCAAAGGGGACCCCGTCTTTGACCGCAATGCTACTGGGAAAGTGCTGCTGCCTTTCCAGAGGGCGCAATGGGACAAACAGTCCGGCCAGAGTCCCAGCAACCCCCGGATTCAGGTGCTGACCCTTTATCTCTGCCAGATGTTTTATTAGGGCGTCATTTTGACTCTTTCTCTTCAACAATCAGGTGAACTCTGTGACGGCGTGGATAGACGGCAGCTCCATTTATGGTCCTTCCTCTTCTTGGTCTGACTTCCTGAGAAACTTTTCTGGAGGACTCTTGACTTCAGGGTCTGAGTGGAAAATGCCAAATCAGGGAGGGGGGAGGAACTTCATGTGGAGCGCCCCCGACCCCTCCACTGGAGAAAACGGACCGCAGGGTCTTTATGGTGAAACTTTATATACAGTTATATTTTCTGTCTCCTTCAAGTATCAGACGCTTCAATTAGCATTTTAAATGCTAATGCACATTAAATGACAAGGCAAGTAAAAAAAATCGTTAACTTTGCTGGAAGGTCACAGTATCCTTCCTTAAAGGAATAGTACACCCAAAACATTATTAGCCTTCATTTTCTACTCCCCCCATGCTGAACAACACTCTGGAGTACTTTTTTGATATCTCAAATGCATCTGGAGATCTGGGAGGCTTCTTGCTGTCTGCTGACATTCAAATAATGGAGGTCCATGGCGCCCGAGACAGAAAGGTCCATAAAAGTCCACAAAAAACGTGTCAATATTCCTCCATACTGCTCGTCCAATGTATTCCAAGTGTCCTGAGTGGGTAGAATCCAGAATTTAGTCGAAACAAAGTCATTTAGAATGTTTTTAGAGCATAAACAGTAGTGTATAGGATTTCCTAAAAGCGCGTTCACGACGCTACGGAAACCATGGCAGACCAAACCAGATGAAAGTGCGCATTCAGCGTCTGCTCTGCCGATAATGCAAGCGTAGAAGAAGAAATGTGCTGTTTACCTGTGCAAAGAAAGAAACAACGAAAGAAAAATGTCTGAGGACTTCAGTGTTGAGGAAGAGCATGAGTTCTTTGCAGAGCTGAATGCGCACTTTCATCTGGTTTGGTCTGCCGCGGTTTCCGTAGACTCGTGAACACGCTTTCAGGAAATCCTATAAACTACTGTTTATGCTCTAAAAACATTCTAAATGACTTCGTTTCGAGAAAATTCTGGACGCTACCCACTCAGGACACTTGGAATACATTGGACGAGCAGTATGGAGGAATATTGACACGTTTTTTGTGGACTTTTACGGACCTTTCTGCCTCGGGCACCATAGACCTCCATTATTTGAATGTCAGCAGACAGCAAGAAGCCTCCCAGATCTCCAGATGCATTTGAGATATCAAAAAAGTACTCCAGAGTGTTGTTCAGCATGGGGGTGAGTAGAAAATGAAGGCTAATCATGTTTTGGGTGTACTATTCCTTTAAGGAGATATGCAACAGTTGCTTCTTTTACAGCAGTGACTTAAACTCTGTTTTTATTATATATTAGGACATAATTTCAAAATCGTAAATTATTTCCTCATAGTCCAGAAAGAAATCCCAACCCTAACCTCATAACAGTCTACTCTATTCTTCCTCTGTATTTGGCAATAAAAACCAAGTCAATAGGCTACTGAAAGCAAAAAAATAAAAGCCCAAATAGTTTGTCATTAATAATATTTCAGGCACGGTCCAGGGTTGCAGTCAGACTCTGAGTCAATTGAGACCAAGCCTGACGTGAGTTGTGACACCTTAATAATTGTGTAAATGGTATATGTCACTTTGACCACGTAAATCCTTCCCTCTAAAACAAAGGACCAGTCATGCATGTGTCATACAACCAGGGTTTTGTTGCTAGTGTTGTGAAAGTTGCGTGTTATTTCGTGTGGGTAAGTCGTTGCATGTTATCCCATTTTAATGAAATTTTTTCTGACAACAAAGCCCCCAAAAAATAATTGAAAAGATGGTTGAATAAATCAATTAACAACGATACTAGCAGATCAATGCTAATTGTTGTTTTCATATTTAGTCTGGCCCAGTTCTGCATCTTTCTGTTGTGGGTTTAATGAGGCTAATTTAGCTGATGAAACGGCCAAACTTCTTTGTTTTTATCCATCCTCTGCATCTAGAGTTGGGAAACGCCTGGGCCAATGAGAACTTGTTCACGGCAGCAGAGGGGATTATCTGGTTTCGCTACCACAATTATGTCGCCACAAAGTTGCACAAGGAGCACCCGGAGTGGTCAGATGAGAGGCTGTTTCAAAACGCCAGGAAGACCGTGGTGGCCACATTCCAGGTAAATGGAGAAGACTCCATGTAATCCTCACGCTGCACAGAGAAAGATTTAATTTGCACTCTGGAAAGATGGACAGGAGGTAGTTAAGGACCGGCACGTCATTTTGACCAGTTGCAGCTCTGTCTTGCACGTACTGTTTTGCAGTGGAATGCCTGCACATTAATGCTAATGCTCCATAAGGCTATGTTACAAAACCTCAATGAATTTGACTGGAATATTGTGTGATTGACCAATACAGAGAAATGCATGGATAGTTTGGTTTGCTCTTGAACGCAGCCTCCCTGGGTTTGTCTCTACCACGTTTGCATACCTGC